TGCCCTGTTCAAGGACATTTATCCTTCTCTAGTATATTCTAGGCAATGAGATTCCACTTCAGAGAGGCAGAACCCATGAAGTAGCTTCTGCACTCTGCCACTAAATGTAGGAAAGAAGCTACAGGGAGATGCCAACAGGGATTGAAGCTGGCTCAGTAAATGCAAAGTTGTGATATAGGGACCACTAGCAATGATGTCATTGGCCATTGGCCTCTGCATTATTTTTTTTTAATCTGCCTTCCCTCCCTGCCTCCCCCCCCCGCTGATCAGTCACTTTTTTCTAGTCTCTTTCTGTGTAGGGTATGCCCAAATTTTAATAGCTGAGCAGTGTTAAGGAATTATTTCCATAGGTATTTTAGGCTTTTTGGTCTTCAAAGGTTATGATATTGCTGCAAATGCTAAATTTTGAACAGTGCCTCTGTATATACTGCAGTTATAAGTGATTCAAAGTTCTCTTTTATAAGGAGATATGATAGTATTTTATTTAGTGGTGCAGGAGGACTTTGAATGTTTTGCCTTTTACTGAGTGTTTTTATAATCATACAGGTTGAGGTTTTATTATTTTTTTCTTGGGAGGGACATAAATGTTAATCAGAGGGACATAAATGTTAAACAGATGTTCCTAGAGCCTTGAACTTCTATTAATATTCTGCATTGTGGCTCCTATGTACTTGAATATTAAGTAAGGAATCTTTTATGTTTAGTATGGTTACCTGTTTGACAACCCTTGTTAGTTTTCTTTACAGAGTTTGTATCCTGTTATGTTTTACTCTTGGTAATACTCTTTTTGCCAAATAACAGGTGTTGCTTGTTTTAATATCTCCTTAAATATATTCTTATTTTTAAAATTGTTTGTACCAGGAAAAGTGTGGATTTGTAGCACTGTTATGTAAATGATGTTTTATAGTTTTATTAAGACATTTCCTTACTTTTTCAAAGTAAAAATAACTGAATAACAATATGGTTACATATTAAGAACTGAGGATTTTTATTTATTTATTTTTAACTGGTGGGAACCTTCATCTGCATGCGAAATACCATGTATGTTGCATGATAAGAGATTCTGGCAACATTGTTGTACCTTGCTACAGAGCTGGAAAACTTCTGCTCTGCATATGTCACAAAACAGATTTAATTTTAAAATCTCATCGCTTTCCCTAAATATCATGTTGGCTTTATCAGTAAATTTCTGCCAGTTGTGGTGGGCTAATAGCTAGTGCTGCACCATGGAAGTATTGTGTATTTCTAGTTGAGTACATCTAGTTGAAGAATGCTCCTGCTTAATGTAATGTGCAGTCAGTTGCTCGTGTGGTTTTGTTCACACCTAACCTGTCATTAATCAGCACTGCTTGTGTGCATCTTCTTACTGTTGACTTGCTTGTGCAGCATGTTAATTCATCTGTTTTTGTCCTGTCTTTACAAGTGTTTGCTTTTGGTGTTGGCAAATTACATGTATGGAAAAGTTGATAAAGATTGTTAATTTTCAATAAGAAAATCTTGCCTTTCCTCTCTCTTTTTGGATCACGTCTTTTAAAATTCAGCAGGACAGAAAATCCTGGGACCAAAGAAACGCTGCTGCCTGGCTCAGTAAGTTCTGCTCAGGTTTGGCTGAGTAATATAAAAACAAACAAATACTCTCATATTGTTTTTACTACTTTTAGTATCAAACAACAAAATATTTGAAGTGTGTCAGAGCTTTAACAACACTTCCCGTGTAGTTTTAGAAGTGTTATCTCTGCATCTCCTGATGCAATTACAGAAGTGTTTTCAAGGGAGAAAAGTACATGTAAAACTCATCATGCTCCCCACTTCTGTAAGCCAGTAGGCTTGTCTCCGTGGCCTCTACTCCTCCTTCAAGAACTCTCTACTGTTTCTTCAATTCTACAGGTATACTTACGGATCAGAGATACTAAAATCAGAAAAGAGAAAGAGGATTTTCTTTTCTCCCACTTTTCCTAAGCAAACAATATTTTTCCCTTTTGATTGACCAATAAATTAACAGCTTTTCTTTTTTTAACGCTGCAGACTAGTGTAGACTGCGTTGTCCTATGAGCTGTGTAGTTACATTTCTGTTTAATACATTGCCACTTGTAAGGGGAATAATTTGGGGAAAGAACACTGCAGTATATAAGTACATTCTGTTATTGTGCCTAAAAAAAAAAAAAAAAAAAATGTGGTTGCATAGAGGTTTTTATTTTGTAACTTTTAAGAGTTTAACTTTGCAATTTTAGTATTATTTTTGAAAGTTAAATATGTGAATTTTGGTTTAATTTAAAGGCAAGGATGCTTACAAGTTGTGTATGATATCTTGAAGTACAACTGTATAAAAGGGAAAAAGCATAGTTTGTGTACACATGTGTGTGTGCAACTGGCAGCCATGATGAAGAGGTGGCACATGAAAAAGATTCATTTGTTGTAAATTGTTTTATGTTCTTAATGCTATGGAAAATACAAAATATTACTGGTGTGGATGGTTACAAAGTATCAAAACTATTAAATGTCAGAGGGTAAAGGAGAAAACATGCATCCTTTCCCAGATAGGAGGTAGGACTTCATGCTTTCAGGTGCCAAATTTTATTTTCTCTTGATGATTTTTATGTGTTGAAGCAGGATGTTGGAAATATCCTTCAGCTTATTTATTTGTTGAGGGTCTTCCTATTCACCTAAGTTTTCTAAAAGTATCTGCTGTACTTTCTATTTCTAAATGTTCTGTATTCAGCTACAATATTCTCAGTGACCTGAAGGTAATGATTGTTTCAACTTTAACCTTGATATTTGCAAGCAAGCCCTTTAAACGATCAATTTGTTTATGCAGTAAATCCAGACTTTGTTACTGTTTCTCAGAGACCTTTCAAAGAGATCTCTCTCAGAGATCTCTCAAAGATCTGTCTCCTTACAGGGATTATCCTTAGTGTGGCAAGTATTAAATGTGGAACAGCCAGGGGTTTAGTCTTCCACCAACCCTTTCCAAAATGTAGCAAATTACTGATTGCTACATGAATAGGCATTTTTCTTTGATTATCTGTCTGTGATTTCTTTAAAACCTGCCTCAAGTTTATAGGTAAGTTACTCATTGGTTATTTGCAATGTGGTGGTGGGAGAGGGGGACTTACTCAAAAAGCAGGCATATTGCAGAGATAATAGACTGTGAGAGAGCTCCAGTAAAATCTGTTTATCTTTAAAACAATAATTATATGAAACTGTGTTCTCATTTTTCTATATCAGTCTTTCTTGTTATCAGTTTCCTTTGTGTGTTTGCATGTGGGTGTAGGAAAGGTGGCATGGAGACTAGAATATTGTGTGGGACACTGAGAAAATCCTCTGACAGTGTCCCAAGCATAGGATTTTCCTAAAGTCTTCAGAATAAGAAGAAATGTTGATTTATACAGGCATGTGAGTGGATACTGCAGCTACCTCCAACTACTCTTGCAACATGTAAAGCTTTTCTTGTAAAGCAAATTACTCTCTGATAATGTTATTTAAATAAACTTTGTACTGGTTACTCTTTTTACTGCGGAGGTTTTATTTTCATATGACCTGTATCGATGCATATTAAGTGAAAGCTGCCAATGAAAGCATGTGCATGTATAAACATGCACAATTACAGAGAAGACAAAATGCAAGGAGTTCATTGTATGAATACTAGGTGGTTTACATTAATGTTTTGTTTCTGTGCTTCTGAAAAAAAGATAAAAATATATTTTTTTCAGCAATGGAAAGGTTAGTATGTTTTGTCTTCAGAGATGGTTGTGTAAGAGCTGTGCTCACTAAAGTAGCTAGTTAACCATTGACATGATCCATAATGATTAAGCAGCTGTAATTTACTGGTAGTGTTTGAAAGTACAAAAGGGTATGTCATTTAATAGTTAAAAACAAAAACTACTTCATTTATATTTCACTAGCTGTTGAGCTGTTACATAAATTTAGCTAAACAGTCTGGTGAATTTTAAATATTTACTGCAAATGTGGAGAAGTATGACTCAATTTGGACAAAACTGTGCTGTTGAAAAAGCTGTTGCCATGTTTAGAGTTCAGCTATCAAGTCTTTTCATTGTTTTCTTGTCAAATAAGGCCTACTTTATTAAAAGTTGAACTTTGGTGTTCACTTAGTCCAGCACAAGTATTTTTAAAAGATTAAGGGGTTGCAGGTACAGAGGCGGGTGTGATTCAGCAGGTAGCTTCAAGTAACACTGGGCTGGCTACCCAGAGCCTGGTGCTTCCTGAAACTTCCCCAGCGATAATGGGATATTCTTGCTACACGTCCACAGGGGAACATCCTGTTTCTGTGCCATGAGCAATGCTGTTACAATCAGCATGCTGGAGGAGCAGTTCTGATCATAATCTCTGCCATTCCTTTCTTCCTTTTTCTGTTGATGGCTCCTTAGGGAGACAAATTTGGTAGTCCACTTGGATTGCCAGAGAACAGTTGATATTATTCTCAGTTACCATTATCAAAATGATATACATCAAGGTTTTTTTTACTCCTTTCCCTCAAAACAATTTACAGCAATAGTAATTTAACTTTGGTTTCACAAATAAATGCATAAGTGATTTCTTGTTTCTCCACTGAAGTCTGACATCTTCCAGTTAAATCTGGGGAGAGTAAGATGTGTAATAAATGCTGGTGGCACCAGATTTGGACAGGGCTAGATAACTAACAGCAAACTGCAGAGTTAGTTGCAGGTTTTATGGAGATGGTTCATGCTGCCTCAAGAGAGAATTTGTACTAATATATTCCTAGTTAAAGGTACTAGCAGAGAATAACAAACAATGTTAACCAGAAATGTTTGCTGTTGCTTCTTTTTCTTACTTTTTCAAAGTAGTGCTTTGTAACAGCCTTTGCAGCAATCTCTGAGATTGGGAGCATTGGTCTGAATCCATGAAGATGGCTTAACAATAAAATCTTTGTCAGATAGCGCACAATCTGTGGCATTTTCTTTTGATGTGTGACTATATGCTTCTAAAACATTAGGCTAATTTGTGTTTTTGTTTTGTTTTAGGTGGAGTGTTTTATTTAGTGCTGTCATTCATACAATTTCTGAGCCTTTTTTTTTTTTCCAGAAGCAACTATGGCCATGTATGTTGGAGTGATTTTAATTTTAAGTCTTCTGTCAGCCTTATGAGTATCAAATGTAGATATTTGTTAATATTTTGTCATGTCACAAGCCAGTAAGACTTACAAGAGAAACAAAGGTAGTTCTTGAAGACAGGACAACTGTTGAGCTTTAAAAGAAAGTGATATTTTAAACTGATTTTACTAAGTAGTCTCAAATTGTGGAATTTATGTAGTGACTATAATGGATATCAATTACAGTTCAGTACTTTATGTGAAAGGAGTTATTCTGATTCAGTTTTCCAATATAATGTTCTGTTCCAAAATAATCAATTATCATAATCACAGTTTCTTGGATGCTCTTGAGGTTGAGATACAGATGAAAATCCTTGCATTGCTGATAAATATTCTAGTACAGTGCTGGCAATGTCCTACTGAGTACTTAATATATCAAATCGGATAGTTAATTTACCTGTTATTTCTAGATACACTGAGCTGTGTATAGTGATAGAATAACAATGTGGCACATCCGAGTAAAATAAATAGTGACATACAGTGTTGTAACTGGTGTTACAAATCATGGATAAATTCCTATTCTTAGTCTCCTAGATATTCTTGTTTGCTACCTCGTGATACAAAACACATTTGTATTCGCTACTGCTTCTTTGCTCATTGTTTGAATGTTTAAATTAATGTAACTACCAGACACTGATTTAAAAGGGATGTTTTGTTGTTATTTCAGTATTCCTCTGTATTTCATCATGCAACCTGATAACACTTTACTGTTTTTGGCAAAATCCACTTTATTTAATTTAAAGAGACAGTTACTGCCAAGAAAATCCTCTTTATAGTCAAATTATTTATTCATTTCTAGTTAAAACTATCCTGTTTCAAATAATGTTTTTCTTTAGGGAGCCTGGGTATAGTTTACAAATAGGAATTTATATTGCTATAGGTGATTGGGGGATGGTTGGACCAGATGATCTTGGAGGTCTTTTCTAACTTTAAGGATTCTATGAAAAACAGGTAAAATGGTGCATAGAGCTGTAAGAAGGAATATATAGAACATATTGCTTTGTTTTAATCACCAGAGATTATGATTACAATACAATTTCAACTTCTTCTTGTATCTGAGGGGTTAACATTCACTTGGCTAAAATGAGTGGTGCATAATGGTACATAGGCTGTACTAGTATGACGTTGGGTATAAATATTAAAAAAAAAAAAATAAGTAGTCTTAAAATCAGAGGAAAATTTAGAGAAGACTAGTGTATATATTTTAAATAACATCAATTGGCTGGTCAATGCTTTGAAGGATGCAGACTGTGGGATTAAAAGCCTTATGCTATACAGATATATATATGTATATTTTTTGTTTTCCTTTAACTTCATGTAATGAACACATTGGAAAACACCGCAGCAATGATATATATATGAACCATTGGTTTTCCATGAAATAGTGGAAAGAGCATGTTGCTAAGTGCACTTGGAAAATAAATTTCTTTAAAATTGTGTGTACTTTGCAGGTTGTTGCAAGCGTAACTCTTAGTCTTCCGTAGAGCAGATCATTCTGCCCTCAGTTACATCTGTGCAAATATAATTGAAGGCAGACTTTTGCCATCAGTCTAGGGAGAAAAAGCTTGATGGCAGGTATCTTGCTAGTCTAAATCCTAAGTTTTTTATATAACCAAATATAAGTTACAAAGTTACAGCTGTCTTTTGTCATTAGTATGTAAAGCAGTAGTTCTTTGTAGCACTCATAGATTTCATCTTTTGGGCAATTATATAGCAAACAAAACAAAACTGTTTAACTAGAACTAATACCCAATTTTCATGGGATTAATCTGTCATTTACAAATTATCAAATACATGGATTGATTTCTTAATATAAAGCATGTAGTGTCGTAGAAGCCAAACTAGTTCTATATAAAACTTTAAATAACATCAAGGAAGGTTGGGTTTTCTGTTTGTTCACTTGTTTTTATCATGACCTAGCACTTTTTATTGAAAAACCAGTATTGGCATATTCCCATATAGCCAGTAATTGGCAAATTCAAGCTCCACGATAAACTGCAGTATACACATGGCTCTTTGTGAAGCTCAGCGTTGAGTAGTAACCACAGTAACAGTCAAAGCTTCCCTGCAAGCCAGCGTGCATTCATTGAATGGTCAATACTGCATTGAGATGTGTCTGTACATGTGTGGAGTACAACACAGCAATTAGTGCAAAAAATTAGTTTCTTTTAGCAGTATGTCCTGGCAGCAGCAGCAGCAACATTCTACAGCATATTTATTAGTTGAAATAACTACTTAATTTTTTTAAGAATCTGTAGTTACTCAAAATTGATAACACTGGTGGCAACTTTGGAAGGCAGCTTTGAAAACATATTTCACTGTGGGAAATAAATCTAACTGTAGGAATTACAGATATGTTGGATTGCATACGCTGGAGCACTCTTGATGAAGGTGTTAAGTTCATTGACCTAAGCAGGTCAAAACCCATTAGTTTTACCTGCTTCTATAAAGATTATAGTATAAGGCAGTATTTTGTTCTCTGCAGTGTCATAAGACCTATCAAATAAATCTAAGAGATGAGAACAGAGGACCAAATCAACATATCTAAGCTTGTTAGATGAGGTGAGAAAAGACTGCTCTCACACAATATTTAATCATATTGATACTTATTTTTCTGTGAAATTTGGTGCAAAGTGCTTAATGCGTGCTATAGAAACATAATTTGTAACCTTCAACAGCAAAGGAGAAAAAACAACAACCTATCCATTGATCTTGTCATATCTTTTCATCATATTGAAATATTTTTTGGACTTTTTTTTCCTGTCCTGTCAATGATTCATGTTGCATAAAGCTTCTGGAGAAACAGAATATTGTATAATATTTCATTATCAGATTAGAGTTCATGTATTCAATATTCTGAGTGTAACAAAATTGAATATAAATATATGTATTCTGAATTTGTAAGCACAGGACTTTTTTTTTTCCCACCAGCGTAAAGAAGTTTAAGTGACAGCTCTACTTGACCAAAATGGTGGACACTGAAAACCAGCTCTATCCACTTACTCCCTTGGAGGAGGATGATATAGGTAGCCCTTTATCTGGAGAGTTTCTACAAGAGATGGAGAATATTCAAGACATTTCTCAGTCTCTAGGTGATGATAGCTCTGGAGCTTTAAGTTTAACAGAGTTTCAGTCACTGGGGAATGGTCCAGGATCTGACGGATCAGTCATAACAGGTAAGAGTTTCTGGTTACCATGAAACTTGCTTTTATAAATACATAATAACAGGAATGAGAAACTTTTTAATGTAATAATTGTTGTTTATGACTAAATGACACTAAAAATATATAAATTGATAATAGCTTCATCTTAATATATTTAGGGCTAAAATTGCTTAACATAAACTTGCTGCTTTTTAAGATATCATTACTATCAATGTTTTCTTTTTCAAAATAACTCTTAATATCACTATTTCTAGAAAAGATGTTATATATTTTAGTCATATAGGATGTAATGATATTGCACTAAAACAAATACCATTTCTTTAGTTTCTTTAAATCACAAGTATTTGAAATGTACTATGAAATATCAGTCAAAAATATATTTACAATCAAGCTCCTACAAGTGCACCCAGAATTCCAGTATATTTTAATGTATTGGTGTTTTTAACTTGCTGTTTTCTCCCCCTTCTCATGAGTAGCATTATTCAACTAATGGTTTCTACCCTGATAATATGAACTAATCTGAGAGTGCTATATACTACGTAGTCATTAGTCAAAAGATCTTTCTTTGTGTGAGATTTGTTTTGAGGGTTCACAATGGAAATTGTTGAAATGTTGTGGGACACTGCAATAACATCAATAACATATTCTTTCTGAAATTGTGGTTTTACAAACCGTTTAGCAGTACAACCATTTTAAGATTAAGTTTATGATTAACCTTCTAGTTGTTTTGCATTCTGTTTTGTTTTTGCTTTTGTGTGTTTTTATTTTTTTACTGTAAATTAATTCTTAGGCTGAGATCACTAGATCACTATTTTACTTTACAAAAATTGTGCCAATAAAACTGAGGTGTGCCTCTGTGCTACAAGTGGTTGAATTAATAGTGTAAATTTTGGAAGAAAGGAGAGCTGTCCCTTGTCACTCTTGCCCAAAGAAATACTTGTTAGAATACGTTTTGGGTCCATTTTGGTTGCAGACTTCCACAGCTAGAGATATGCCTCATACAGGAAAAGTTTATATGTACTGGCTTTATAATACAGTTCATCTGTAGTATGATTTTTTTTAATTATTTGTGTGTGTATATGTGTACAAGTCCTATGATAATTTGGATCAGTTTCTGGTATCAGCTTATTTTCAGTATTCAGTGTTCATTGCAAAAACTCCAAGTTTTGCTGTTACTGAAGATGGAAAACGTAAATGTTTAAGGCTCAAATTCCATAAGACAAGTAAAAAGAAATGAAAATCATACTTTAAAAAAAAATCCTGGGTTTTAGGCTGTTGTTGATGACTCTGCCTGTGGGCTTGGCAGTGCTGGCAATGAAGACTGAATTCTATGCCAAGTTTTTTTTTCTAATGTAATACTTGCTGACCTACATTTGTAGGTGTTTCTTAATCTTTCTGTTAAAATAACACACCCATTAATTTGCTGAAGTCTTGTGGTGCAAGTTGCAAGATGGAAGATAAAAGAAATTCTGGCCTCAGAAAATATTTTCTTCAAACAAGGTGGAAATATTAATTGAAATAATTGAAGTTGGAAGGTGTTGGTTCTGTAACGTGTTATCTAGTAGTAAAATTGAGAGTTTGTTTCATTCATTGTATAGCAATCCAGAAATTATTTTCCCATTATACTCAAAAGGTAAAATATTTGAGCAAGACTTTTATTGCCTCGTTATCTTAGAAGTAGACACTCTTCTTACCTTCCTTTTAATATTTGTTTAGCCTTTTTACTGATGTGAAGGAGTATGTTTTCACTTTTTTCTAAAGAAAAGATTTTTATCAATGATGTGTTTAACTGCCTTCTAGTTCTCAGTTTAGATGATCATTTAAAACTATGATAGCTTTTCAGTCAGTGGGACTTCTAAGTGTGTCTTCAAGTGCTGGACTAATTCAGCTTGAGCTACAAATATATCTCTTACCATGCTATAGCAATAGACCTCATTCTGAGCGCTGGCAGAAGAGATGGTAACAGTGAGACGAGCTCTTAATAACCTTTCTGGAAAGAGTGAGTGACAGGTTCAATGGATATTGTGATACAGACTTGAAGCCGTGGGGGAGGTCTCTGTTATTGATGTAGATTTTTTTTTTTCTTTTTCGTATTTTTTACTATTTGTCTTGAGTAGTAGATACATCTTGAATATTGCTTCTTGGTTTCAAATTAGTTATTCGTGAAAACAGTTATATGTGTATTTTTATATTTATGAAATTTTCCTTGGTTGAAATGAAAAATTCTTTGAATACTTAGTTACTTATTTTAAGTTTTGGGATTAAACAAGTTCATACTCACATCAAACCGAGAACAAATTGAAAAATACAAAGTAAAAAATTAGATGTGGGAAAATAAAAAAAAAATTGATTTTTTCTCTTTCTTTCTCAGTAAGGCTTTTTGTTTGTTGACATTGTATTGCATCAACATTAGCAAGATAAGCCTTGTATTTTGTATGTTTGCATGTTAATATAAATATGAAATACTTTCAAACTCTTAATGCCAAGTTCACTTAATGGCTATGATTATACAATTCTGACTCAAGATTATTTTTTAAAATAATCTCTTTTTTTGTTGTTGTGGGTTTAGTATAGTATTTATGAAGTGTTCCTTTTTCTTTTAGACACCCTTTCACCAGCATCCAGTCCTTCATCCATTAATTTTGCCACAGCTCCAGGTAGCATAGATGAATCACCCAGTGGAGCATTAAACATTGAATGTAGAATTTGTGGGGATAAAGCCTCAGGCTACCATTACGGAGTACATGCTTGTGAAGGTTGTAAGGTACAGTCGTAATTTTCTTTTTAAGAGCCTAAATCATGTTGCTTTATTTGCAGGGTTATATGGAGATAAGCATTTGTTTCATAAATGTTTAATATAATTCTAGCCATTAAAATTATTTCTGTGATAAACATATCTGTGATCTTTTTTGAGAAATAATTTGTTCAGATACTGTAACTGGCTACCGTAACTCAATACCACACCTTCATCAAGCAGAGGCAATGCACAATGACAATTTTAATGCTGCTTTTGTGGAAGTAGTTAGTTAAACACTAAAACAACTTAAAACACTAAACTGTGACCAAAAATAAAAGCCTACTTGCTCCACTAGTGTTTTATTTGTGTTGGGAGTATAGCTGTGAGAAGCATGCAAGCCTGCTGCATTTCCATTGTAACACTAACAAATCCCAAATATTTCATCTCCACCCCATTCTGCTTAAATCACTTAGTATTGTACCTCTTGTAGTTTTGGACCCAGTGCATATCTGTGGGGCAAAGTAATGTTATCATTAATGTATAATTTTGGGGATGATATGGCCCAGGAATTAAAAGATTCTTTTATTTTACTTCCAATGTGTTGTTTTTTTCTCCTCTATTTCGTTTTCTCCTCTTTTTCTTTCTTTATTATGTCTGATAAAAGAATTAATTTTATACATGTATATTTTTCTCTCATGCTCCATGTCAGAAGGTGATAATTCAAATATAAATCTTATAAATTAATCCCAGAAACTGTACTTGCCTTTGAAGAGGTGGAGAGCTAGTTCATAATCAGATGTGGCCAGAAAGCCCCAGAGCCTAAATGACATCTGTTACTATGTCATGTGAAGCAAAGTGTTGCAATGACTTTAAACAGCTTTGCTAACCCTTTAATTACTTCTTAGCATGAGACTAGTATTACATTGCAGTATCAAGACATCACGGTAAGGTCTGCTGAGGTATAGCCTTTTCTGTAATGCCTATTTTTGTGTCCTTGGCTCTTTCTACACACTGTGCTGCATTGTAATACCCCTCACGTTTGCTGAATAGAGAAGAGATGTGTTAAATCTCTGCATTTGTGTAACTTACGCATATGAAAGATTAAAGTTGTTTCTGTCAGAGGACACAGAAAATGTATGCAAAAGCAGGATGTGACTGTGTTACTTAGTCCTTAAAAGAAAATTTATTCTGGTACTCTGGGGTCTTGATTCTCTTCCAAGAACAAGAGCTGAAAGCTGCTTCCTCCTTTCTTGTTTTCCATTCTGTATATGCCTTCATACACACCACCTCACCATGTAGAGTGGGAGATTCTTACCTTCGGACAGATTGTGCTTTGCATATTGTTTTTCTACTGATATCACTAAACAATTAAAAAATCACATGTATGATAAAGTTCAGTAGTCACGACTATTTAACATTACATACTGTCTTCTCAAACTTCTTATAGGGTTTTTTTAGGAGAACAATCCGATTAAAACTCATCTATGATAAATGTGATCGCAACTGCAAAATTCAGAAAAAAAATCGTAATAAGTGCCAATACTGTCGTTTTCAAAAGTGCCTTTCAGTTGGAATGTCACATAATGGTAGGTAAGAGTGCCATTGATAATTTGCTTGTTCCTACCCAGGGTCTGCTTCTGGAAGCAGACACTTGGATAACTTGTATGCTTATTTGTATGAGTTGAATCTCAGATTTTTACGGTATAGATTGGAGGGGGTGGGGGAACAACACCAATTTCCCTAAAGTCTAGTAGAAGTAACTGATAAACAGCTGCTAAACCTACTCTTGTGAATTTTACACAGTTGTGTTGAATGTTCATTTGTCCATATTATTGTATATTTAGTTGCTTGCTTGTTGTTTGTTTTTTTTTTTTTTTTTTCACCCAGAACTTTGACACCATTGGTGCCATTGAAACAAGTTCCAGTACTGGAAGAATTTTGACCAGGGGAGTTTTAGAGGAGCAGGAGGAGAACTAGCTTATTGTGGGAGGGCATGACACAGGGAAGAAATCTGTAGGAAACCAGACTTAATTATTTTGCAGATTACAGTGCAACAGCTCTTGGGCAGGTGGTTCAGGGAGTGTTGGGGGGAGGGCTGACTGTGGGGCAGGAGTTAGAAGTACGTTGCCTGTTAAATGGAATGGTAAAAATTCAGAGTGTTTAGATACTGCACCGAGCCTGACTGAATTTAAGAAGAGATTGGACTGTGCACTTAGTCACATGGTCTGAACTTTTGGGTAGACCTGTGCGGTGTCAAGAGTTGGACTTGATGATCCTTAAGGGTCCCTTCCAACTCAGGATATTCTATGATTCTATGATTCTATGATACACAGTTTAAGAATTATATTATTGTTTGTGTTAATGGCTTAACTCTGGCTTACACACTAATATTACCCCCACAAGGCAGTTCTATGCACAGTATGTAGCTTGCTAAGCAACTTTGGTAAAGAGGGGAGAAGAAAGAAGATAAAGCAGGGAGAGGCCAATCCACGAGAAAGCAATTTGGCCAGATGACAGCAGTTTGTTTTCCCTACGTTAAGTCTTATGGTGTCAAAGCTGAACTTGGGAGCAGGTGCAATATGGGAGTAGGTTGCTGGGCTACATGAAAAGCTGTGGGCTGAGAGACGAACTTCCTGAGGAAACAATGCAGTCGAGATAGTTGGGGTGGGGACCCAGTTGGGAAAGCCACCTTTGGCAGCATAGCCTAGAGTCCAAGCAACAGACATTGGGAAAGCTGACTTTCTGGTTCTGGGGGAAGCCTGGTTCCTGTGTATAATGCCTTGACTGAGATTAAAGTGCATTTGGAGAGTCGCATTTAGGACTGGTAATAACCTTATTGAAGCAACAGACTTGGGAAGAGTGTGCCAGCTAACAAAGTAACATCTCAGGGACAGGAACTGAGTAGGGAGCTGTGTTGGATGGCAGGGATTAGCGCTCAGTTGAAGCGGTTTCATGCTATTAAAGCACTGTGGGCACCTGTGCTGAAGGAAGCAGCAGTTTCACTGGAGAAAATGTATAGGAGGCTGAAGGGGATGAGAAGACTGCTAACTTGCAGACAGTGCTTCTCAGGAAAATAACCTTAACTAGATTTACAGCTATGACCTCTATCCTGTAAGTTTCAGCTTAGGGAAGATATTCTTACACTCTTCTGATAGACCCATGGCTGGATTCAGAGCAGGACATCCATGGAAGGACTTGCATTGAAGTCCAAAACTGCATTGCAGATCATGCTTCAAATCACCTTCTTGTGTCATAAGAAGATTCCTCAGGCATGTTGAAGCACTAATTCTGCACGGGCTTGGTGTTGCTCAGTTAAAGCAGTGAAGTTTTGTCCTCCCAGTGGTTAGCTGCTGAAATAGGCAAGAAAGAGCAACCAGATTTATTAGCCTTCTCAAAACCTTGCTTACTGTCAGAGGGTAGGCCCCTGTATAAAATTGAGTTATTTTAGTTTTAAGATGAAACTGAAGAAGCATGTGGACATGCCTATTTTAGTGCTAAATGGCAAGAGCACTGGCCCAAGAAATGGGAAGACCACCATGTCCAATGGGGTTTCAAACTCATATCTCCTGCCTTTCAAAAGGATGTACTAATGACTGGATTGCGTATTCAAACTCTATTCTCATCCTCTCTAGTTTTGAAGGGTTAATCTATTGATTCTGGGCCTGGGAGGAGATTGTGTTGACTATAACCTTTGTGCGTTAATGAGAGTTTCTGGTCTGTTTTGTTCTCACCAGTCAGTACAGATACATTGAACTGAACATCCAGTGCCTAAAGAACTGAATGCCCTAGCCATTTCAAAATCAGCACTGGAATTTGGGGCTACCTCCCTGCAGAGTTCCCCCAGGCATCTTTCGACAGAACACTGGAACAGGCTGCCCAGGGAGGTTGTGGAGTCTCCTTCTCTGGAGATATTCAAGGCCTGTCTGGGCGCCTACCTGGGCAGCCTGCTTTAGGGAATTTGCTTTGGCAGGGGGGTTGGACCCGATGATATTTCAAGGTCCCTTCCAACCCCTACAATTCTGTGATTCTGTGATCTCTCCAGTCGGTGTGTGTTTCCTCTGCCAAGCTACTGACATGACTTTCCTCACTTAGCTTTTTAGAATTCCCATGGTGGACCTTTGAGTTCCATGTTGGACACTGCAGGACACAAAGAGGAGAGAAAAAGATAAAACTACTTAGGTAGTGTAGAAGGAAAAACGCATGTATTCTGCATCATCGCAGATACCAGATTGTGTTTTGAAATGTCTGATTACTTTCAGTGTAGTACGCTAACCTGATGTGTCAGGTCTTGTTAGCTGGGTCTCAGTCACTGTCTGTTGGAAAGGATAAGACTACTTCACTCATGAATTTATCATAGTAAGTCTGATACTTCTACCTCAGTTTTTCTGGACGAAAAATCTTACTGCTCTATTCAGCAATTGAAAAAGGGGTAGGTTTTTGTATAACATGTTTGTTTTACAATTATATCTTCCTATCAGCAATACGTTTTGGACGAATGCCAAGGTCTGAGAAGGCCAAGTTGAAGGCAGAAATTCTAACAGGTGAAAGTTATATTGAAGATTCAGAAATGGCAGATCTTAAATCACTTGCTAAAAGAATTCATGATGCTTACCTGAAAAACTTCAATATGAACAAGGTTAAAGCCAGAGTCATCCTTGCAGGGAAAACTAATAACAATCCAGTAAGTACTTTTGCTGTAACTTTAAAGTAAAGCTGGAAAGCACATAAGGTGGTACAATGATTTGTTAAACTCATAAGCAAATCTTTCAGAAAATAAATAACATGCTAATATGGAAATGAAATATACACACACCAAAAAAAAAAAAAGAAAAAAGAATACCTATAGTAAATGTAATTGCTTTTAGCCACTATAAGAACATAAAAAGTTTTAGGAACCTTAAATTATAGTAGAGAGATAAGGGAAATAAAATTAGTTCTTAATCAAGAAACAGAATGTGAATACCTCTTGCTATGGGTGGGGGAAAATGGTTCAGATTTAATTTCCTAGTGTGAAAGTCGGGGAAAAAAATAATTCAAATGCTTTTCAGCCACAGATACCAGGATAAATACTGTTATGTTTTAGGGTGTACAGAAGCTCTGCATGACTCTTGTTCTAATCACAGAAGTATAAATGGTAGGAAAGAGAACATGAGTTTGTAATTCTTTGTTAACAGTTCTTTCTACTTCCTCATGCAGCCTTCCTGGTTTTAAATGTATGGTTATTTTGAAAAGGAGAAGCATACAAGTTTCTGATGACATGTATGCTATACTGTTTATTTTTCTTACAGGATAAGTTATCCAAGATTTTATAATGAACTGTTATATGTTACATGTTCTCTATGCATTTTTACTTATAGTACTTTGGTCATTACTAATTAGTATGTATTGTGCAATATTTACTCACCAGTTGCACAACATATTTGAGATTTAACTGTGAGCCATACTGTCTTGATAATGTGCATAACTTTCCTAGAAATGGCTGAATACAGCAAGGAAATCAACATTGGACAACGAAGAGCTTGGTCTAGGTTCTGCTATCGACTGCTTTTTGTTCTGTAGCACACAAGATTGTAAGGACTGACTTGTTTCACTTCAGCTACAATTTCTATAATTGTATTGTAATTTATCATATAGAAAAGATAAAATCAGTGTTAAAATAGGAGTCTTATTTTCAGGATGAATCGCGGGGGGGGGAGATGGGGAGATATTTTCCCCCAGTAGTGTAGTCTAGCCAAGCATACAAGCTTCTATATTAAAAGAGAAATGTATGAATAATGCCAGTCTTTTTCTCTGGGTTGATGAGGTGCTTAAAAATTAAGAACAACCATAAGCCATAAACCTTTTTGGGGTACAAGCTGACACGAGCCTACAGTAAATACCATGCTTTAACACCTTACCAAGTAGCTCTCTCCGTATAGTCCTTTTCAAGCTTGCTACTACATCAGAATCATAAATTGCAATATGTAATGTACATGCAGGGATCCTAGATCTCTACATCTTATTTTTTGTGTTTGTATTTATGGGATGAAGTTGATGTAATGGCTCTCAGATTATAGTCATCTGATTAACCAAGTAATAGAGGCTCGCATGTATCCTAGTGAATTTACAAATAAAAATTGATGAGGAATCAGAGCTAATATATTGCAAACAGGCTGTTCCTTTATTCTTCAATATTCAGGAAAAAGGAGAGTTTTTCAGCTATTTCATGATCTCTGCTTGGGAAAAAAATCTTTTAACAAAAACTTTTTTTTTTGGGGGGGGGGGGGGGGGGGGGTTGTTGTTGGTAATTAATAATCCACCTGTTTCTGAACTATGCATTAAAATTTCACTTCAGAGAATCCTAATTCTTGGCATCACTATAACACATTCCAGAACAAACTAGCATTTTTTGTGATGGCAAGATGTCCTTTTTAAATTCGGATCCTAAGACCTTGGCATTATCTGTTTTCTGCATAGTGAAATGATGATAAATTCCAGAAGAATTTACATGACAGATTACATCTAACAAAGTTCAAAAAGTGGTGTTTGATTGTTCTGCTGCTTTTCTCTCATATCCACCTGCACATAAAAATTTCTGTACTAAGTACAGAAATCCAATGGAATTGTTCTAAGCACTTGAAAAAGTGTACAACATTCAAAGTGGTTCAGTGGACTGTAGGGAAAAATTAATGTTTTACAGTTTCCTAAGTAAAATAGATGAATCCTATTTATAAAGAAATACAAAAAATTATCCGTGATGTTTAATCTGAGACAAGCAAAACAGCACGGGGATGGTACTCTGCTTAGCATTTAAGGAAATAACATTTATGTTCAAGGCCAATTGCTATGACTTTGATAGACTGGGAAGCACAGTTGTTGTTGGTTTTTTGTTTGTTTTTCTTTCATAAATAGTCCTTTGTTTTGTTTTGATTACTGCTCTTCAAATATATAATAAAATATTTTAGAGTTCTGTTTGATTGTTAAGAAAGTGGGAACGCTTTTTTATGTGATGTTTTTAAGAGACCAGCTCATCAGATTGTAATGCACGGACCTTTTTAAATAGAGGGGGTTTTTATTTATGGAAAAGACGGTGATCAAGACTGAAATTTAGTGTTGTCTGACATTCTAGTGGGATCTGGGTTTAGAGATGAGTTAGCACTAACAGGAGCTAGAAAGGTGAGCTAAATTTATGTGGAAGAACAGCTGAGACCTAGTCTATGAAAATCTGATAATAAACGCAAGAGTAATAGATGAGTCACATTCTTGTGTAAACATGCTGTCCTGTATTTGAATGATTGTCTGTATTCCCCTTAGGATACTTCAGGAAAGCATCACGATGTGCATCAAGTGTAGTTAGTTTAGGAATTGATAGGAAAGTAGGAAGAATAACCTGGACTTCTGGAGAAGGTAATACACGTCTTTTAAGAACCTTCTGGGTCTAACTCTAAGATGGATATATATATGTATATATACTACACACAGTACTTCTGGATATTCACTGTGAATATGTCATGCGTATTTACATTTTGTTTTTTGCTGAGTCGTTTGCAGGACAGACTTGCTCTAAGACATTGCATTTTGTAGTTCAGTAATGTGTGGTTTCTCTTTATGCAGAAATATGAAAGAACTCAAGATTTATTGATAGATGAAAACTGATTAGTATGAAACTTAAAAGGTTCATCAAAATTCATTTGTTTAGGAAACCAATGATTAATAGCTTTGATTTTGTCAATGAATTAATACTGTTTTCTCTGTAGCCATTTGTTATACACGATATGGATACCTTGTGCATGGCAGAGAAGACTCTTGTGGCAAAATTGGTAGCCAATGGCATTCAGAATAAGGAAGCAGAAGTTCGAATCTTCCACTGCTGCCAGTGTACTTCTGTAGAGACTGTCACAGAACTTACTGAATTTGCCAAATCTATCCCTGGCTTCTCCAATCTTGACTTGAACGATCAAGTGACACTGTTGAAATACGGAGTTTATGAAGCCATCTTTGCTATGTTAGCATCAGTAATGAACAAGGATGGGATGCTGGTAGCCTATGGAAATGGTTTTATAACACGGGAGTTCCTGAAAAGTCTGAGAAAGCCATTCTGTGATATAATGGAGCCAAAATTTGATTTTGCAATGAAATTCAATGCACTGGAATTGGATGATAGCGATATATCGCTTTTTGTCGCTGCCATCATTTGCTGTGGAGGTAAGCACTACGTATTTGTTCTTCAAGGCAGCAAATTTTCAAGGTAAAGAAGGGTCTATTTACTCTGCATTTTTTAAAATGGAACGTGAAGTGTGATGGTGTGTTTTTGTTTGGGGCTTGGCAGATTTTTTATGAGTTTAGGACTGGGTAGAAAACTCTTTATCTACAAAATGGGCAGAAGAGCAATTTGTAAAGAGATTGGAGGCAGATGCAGGTTATAGCTTTGTTCATCTTTTGACTCTTGCTGATTGTTCATTTTCAGGGTGGGAGGGTGTTTTATGTTTCTTTTCCTTGCTTTTGTAGCATGGGTTGTATTTAGTACTATGAACTCTCTCCTCAAGTAACTGTGGGCATTGAAAACAATCTGTCCTGAGGGGTAACGGAAATATTATCTATTACTATTATTACTGAATAAAGATTTACTTTGAGCCTGTTTCAAACCTGTTGAAATTGATGAGAATATTTTCATTGCCTTCAGTGTATAATGTAAATTTACACTGTAGCCTACAACATAGAATCTTTGAAGTAGCATATGATAAATAATATTTTTAAAATTATGACATGTATTTTTCTGTTTGTTTCGAGAATAGATCGTCCTGGTCTTGTAAATGTAGGACACATTGAAAAAATGCAAGAGAGCATTGTGCACGTACTGAAACTTCACTTGCAAACCAACCATCCTGATGATACCTTCCTCTTCCCAAAACTTCTTCAAAAAATGGCTGACCTCCGACAACTTGTCACAGAACATGCTCAACTTGTTCAGATAATCAAGAAGACTGAATCTGATGCACATTTACACCCTTTACTACAGGAAATCTACAGGGATATGTATTAAGGATTTTTAGTATTTTTTCCACAATATTTAAAGACAACAGCAATATTAATAATAGATGGGAGCAAAACAACTCAGTTATCAGCTGATCACTCAGTTCAGTACATGAACAGTTTAAAAGCTAGGTAACGGGAGTGCTACACTTCTTTTGGTTTGGGTTCTTTTCTTTTTTGAAAGAGTTCTGCAGAAAAACACTGATTATAATGCTCATGAAGTGTCTTACAGCGGTTCTTTTATTTGGAAATCTGAAGATTGGTAAGGAATTCATATTTGTATAATAAATCAGAATGCTAAGTAACAGAAATGAAAAAAAAAAAACAAAAAACAACATATATTTCCTCTTGGCTTAGTCATTTAAAGTTAAAATAACAAATTCAGCAAATTCTTCCCAGATATATATATGTATGAAGATTACACATTCTTGGCTAACGGTAATTACTGAGAACCAACTAATGATTTTTCTTAAAGGCAGTCAGTCTAGGTGTATCAAATGGTTTGATATTATTGCATATACACTACTAAAAAATTTGAAAGACTTTGATGTGCCACTGCTTGAATTTCATGAAGTGCAGTACAGATTCATATAGTATGACATTGGTGTACTTTAGGATTAGAATGTTGAAAGGAAGTACTTTTGAGAAATTGAATAAAATCCTAAGTGGTATCGAAAGTACAATAGATATGCTTCATTCAGAAGTTTCTTGAAGAGTAAATGTGATAAGCAAAGAAACCCTTGTCTGGAAAGGGTTTTAAGGAAATATAAAAATGTCCTTGGGGAAAAATATTTTATACTATGTGTATTTTGGAGAACTTGTAGTAGCTCAAGATGCAGTTTTGGTGTCAAGTTGCAATTTTGAATTAATCTGAGTTTTGGAGAGACTGAAAAATCTGATCCTAGTACAGAAATAATTTTAACTGCACAGTATTCCAGTGCAGTGATAGCTTTTCAGTGATCATTTCTAAAGATAAGATTATATAAGAAAAGCACTTTCTTTCTTGTCCTGTATTTTGGCAGTATAGAATCTTTGGAGCTTGTTTACTTTTCTGATGAGTACACTATTATGTTTTTTTCTTTTTTCAGTTATCCACTCAGATATATTTGTATTCTTCCATAGGCCTTGGCCATACAGGTAACAGCTAGATTATATCACCAAGTTTTGTTCTTGTCCTTACAACCATAGTGGATAAGGTGACAGTATTACCAAGAGTGGAGTTTAATTGTGTAACATGAAAGAGAGTACAGTCGAGAGTATCTGAAGGCATATGGTGGTTTTACAAGAGTACTTATTCTTGATGCAAAATAAGCCAAAATGAAAGTGCTTGACTTCGGTATTTTACAGGGTTCTTTATCAGAGATTAATGCACAAAATGTGAAAGCAAATGCTAGTTGCATGCAAAGCACTGTACTGTTTCTTTTTCTTGAAAATTTTTAATTTCCTTTTTATTGGTAATTTCCTGGTATTTCTACATAAATTCCTACATAATACTGTTAATTTCCTTTTATTATTCCCTTATTTTATTATCAGTTTCATAACACAAAGAAATCAGAAGCCAATCCTAGTATTTTCACAATAGTTAAGCTTTCAGTTGCACGGGAGAACACATCGTGCTTGTTTTATTGTAGCATGTTCAAAGACTTCAGAATCTTAAATCTTTACTGAAAAACTTAAGTTAGTTGCATAAAGTGAGAGCATCATAAAATGAGGCTTATTTTTGTCACAACGTTTGTTTTTTAAAGGCCCACTGGCATGGCTAAACATTGACAGGTCACATTACAGATTTGAAAATAATTTGGTCTTTATCTCAGTGATGGCCATTCATACAGGTCCTAGTGTGAAATACTAAAGCATTGGTCTTAAATTTGGTGATGATCTAAGGCAAGATAGGAGCTATAGATGCATATGCACAAAACTCCCTCACCTTCCCTGTCAACTACCTTCTCTTCTCCCCAGCTGGGTCTTAGAAGCATTATGTTACAACTACTTCTAACACTTAATTAAGAGAAGTTTGTTTGTCTTCCCAGGAAACAGTGGATGAGAAATGTGTTGTTGTCTGTGTCTTGCAGCAATATACAGTATGCCCTCAGAAATAAGAGGATTTTAGCAACGATGCTGCTTGATTCTTCAATTCAGCCTTGCCTTACTATGGGCTGTGGGCTTTAGGCAATGGATATGCTCTACTGCTTAATCCAATTTAAAAAAGTGTCAAAATGTCATGATGACATACTAAGGATCTGTACGTGTGGCATGGCATCCATACACAGGAATTGTGTAGTGCAGTGCTTACCACACTCAGTGCAGCTGATGACAGTCTAAATTCTAAGTTTGGAGACTCTAATAGCAAACTATCTTAAGCTGAGTCTTAAATGCAAGCTGCATTTTTCTTTTTCCCAAAGTTCGTATGTGTGCAAAATGCAAATTTGAAAGTGCTGTCCCATTGTTTGCATGTACTGAAGTTTCTCATTAAAAACAAACAAACAGACATAATCACTGCAGACAAAATGCATTTTCCCTGTTCTTATTTTCAAAATTGACTAAAACACTTTACTGAAACTTTTCAAAAACATGGAAAATTTAATAATGAATACTTAACTTTGGCAAAATTATGAAGAATTGAAAACAGCATTGTTCAGTGGAAAGCGTAATGCAGCTAACTTTGTAAAAGGATCCCACAATACGCATTAGGAAAGTAATATGCATTTTTTCTATTCTGGATGCATTTTCTTTTTTTATTTAAAAAAACATGCATTTTTTAATAATTGTTTGGACAATGGCATATGATTTCTGTTTTAAATTAAATCATGGACCTTTAAACATATGGAAAGAACACATTGTGAATTACAGAAATATGAATGAGATGTTAACGTAGCCTAAAATTCAGGATAAATTCCAATGTCTGCAGGGTTGCAGGGTGCACATATCCACAATATCTTCAAAGAATGACGCAGAGCAGACAATTCACTTCCCACGTGTTAATGTACAAAAGAAGTTCTTAATTTCAGCATTACACATCTAATAAAGTGTGCTAACAAAGTACACGTTGGCTACTTCTGTAGATGACTGCAGTAGGCATTTGCCAACCAGATGTCAACAAATGACTCCATTTGCGTTCATTTTCTGGAATTTTGGAGTCTGCCAAATTTTAGATGTATTACTGAGGAGCCTTCAGCATCTCCACCTTTTAGAGATCGCCTAATATTTTAATCTTTGGAGGGAAAATGTTCAGATTTTAGGATAAAGATTTGTTAAAGGCTTACTGGCTCGTTATGTAGAGTTCTGATCTGATTCATACCTACGCTGAGTTATTTTAATATCGTAGCACTGAAGAGCCCTGGTTAGGCACCAGGTACCCACAAGCAGCTTAGAACAAGAGACCACAAGTGAATAGAGAAAAATCCTAGGGAGCAATAGTACAACTTAATGTTTTCAACAAACCTACAGCCTATTCAATTTTTAGGGTTGTTTGTTTTTTTGCTTTAGTGGGATCCAAGAGGTACTTTGATAGAGGGGAAAACAAACAAAAAAATCAAAAACAAACAAAAAATCATTAGGGAAATCTGATACTCATTTTTACCTCTCTAATATTTTGTTTAAAGGTGTACTATTCTCTGTGCACAGCTTTCCTTTAAAAAAAAAAAGTTACATTGTACCTGTTAAATTTCAGATGTCCACTTTAATTTTAAAAAGCAAATTGTCTGGCAATAGACAGGAATGCTTTCCACTTACAGAAATTGAATCTTTCTTGGCATTTATAGATTTTTTTTTTTAATTTAATTTCCATTTCCATGTGCCTTTGTCCTTTGGTTCTAGCCAGCTGCTAGAAAGCTGAAGTGTTGCCAAAGAGCATATTTTAGCTTTATTTCTGGCCTGCACAGATTTAGGAAATACCGGCAGTTGCACTAAGTCTGTTCTCATGAGAGAGCTAGCACAAGTTTGCAAATCAAAGAGCTTATAATAAGCATCTAAACATTTGTTTGTTTATTCAAACTGCTAAAGCTTTGGAGATTTACTCATCACGAGAGCTGGGTCACATAATATTAAATTTGAATTTCCTCCTTATTTCTAATGGAAAGCATGGACAAGTTAGCATCTCAGACAGAGAAACTGAAGGTTACACCATAGCTGCCTGTACTCTGTCTGAAGAGGAACAATTTCAGCTCTGTCTCTCCTTAAAAGCAACCACGTTACTTAGTTGAAAATCTGCAACTGTATTTAACAAATGCATTTGCAGCTGTTGGGATATTACTTAAGCATAAGTTCTTATAAATAATGGTCCTTCACTGAAAACCCTAATCCTTTAGTAAGTGTTGAAATGTAAGGTGTAGTATGGTATCTGGTACTTGCTTATATCTCAAGTGCTTTCTTGATAATAAGTTGCCTTTTTTTTTTTTTAATCTAGATTGAATCAGTTTTGCTATCCTCTTACTAGAGATTTAAATTATATGTGGGTTTGATCTAAGAGTATTGATAATATTATGTACTGTGGGATATTTTAATTTAATGTAATACCATTTATTCATGTTTCAATTTGTAAAATACCAGAATATAATTGCAAGGTATAAACTTTCACTAAATTATATTACAGAGGTGCTTTAAGAAAAATATGTAAATTATTTAATTTAAATATGTGTTTAATACTTTATCTTGTGAACCCTTTTGTACAGTGAGGAAAGATTTACTTTTATGGGTAAGGATGGTGGGCCTGAAGTCAAAGACAAACAGCTATTTATTCCCGTGTAGCCTTTATTCCTCTGTCATTTGTGAAGTATCAGAAATTCTGCAGCTTATCAAATATTGGTATTGATAATTGTAACCAAATTTCAAAATGTAATTTCACATAGAACATAGACTTCCTTTTATTTCATCTTAATAGAAGTAAGTCTAGGTTAGGAAGAGCTGTAATTTCAAAACAGAGTTAATATTATCAATGTTTTTAACTCAAGTTCACCAACAGGAAAGATAAATAAATTCATCTTTGCTTTACAGCACAGTAGTAGTTCATTTTCCTCAAAAGACTGAAAAGAACTAAAAAGAGGTAGATTCTCTAAGTACTGCATTATTGTTATTTTCTGAGAAACTGATGCATGGTTTACTAGAAATAACAATGTATATTGATAATTATTTCCTTTTATCTGCATGGAGGTTGATCTGCAGTTCTTCTAATGTGTTTTTAAACAGTAGTTTGGCAGTGCAAAACAAAATACAGAAAAGCCAATAACAGTATTTCAATAGGAGTGTTCCCTTTACAGTTTTAAGTAGAGATGAATTCAGAGCCTTTTCGTGGGTATTCTGTGTCCTGTGATTCAGGTGTGACAATCTGTGCCTCCAGTGCTCCTGCTAATGAATCCTGGTGTAGGAGCAAAATGTACCAGGAATGTTCCTGCAATGATTTATACTTACTGTATCTTATTTGTAATAGATAAAATTGTATTTCCCAAATTGCTGCAGCTTGAAATTTTTACTTGGTCAGTGTTGTCATGCAGGTATGTTGTTTATTACGATGTTCTTGTCAAATTTTTTAAAGCTCTACTGAACTTTCTTGTACCCTACAGCTACTTTTCCAAATTTCTTAAGCAGCAATGAAAAAAACACAACCTGTAAAAGGTACCATCAGATATATCACTTTACATTGCAAATATGTGATCTAAATTCACTGTTAACTAAGCCCATCCTGGGCAAGGGTATTCCTCTTCTGTTTTCCGTAAAGTGCTTACAGGTTTTTAAAGCTTTTTCAGCTTCTGAAGCTGTTTTTTTGTTGTTGTTTTTGTTTGTTTGTTTGTTTCCTTTCCATCTTTCCCTTGATCTTCTTGATTGTATTAGTGCTATCTTGTCAGATTCCACTGCAAGGATATTTGAAAACAGAATTTCTACTGCAGGGACCTCAATTTCAGATGAGCTGAAATTTGGGGGATAGGCTACATGCACAAAAGAGATTAAGCTCATTACAGGCTTGGCTTTAAATAAGGACCGGACTGCAAGATCAAGAGTAAGGTACTTAAAGCCATTTTTAAGTATTTTGGTGTATTTTCTCAGGTTGGGTATGCATGTACAGTAATTCCCGTTATGGAAGAAAAGAGCATAATCAATGCAAAAAGTTTTATGGCATTCTTTACCCCTGGAAGAAAAAAAAATGGTGGTGGAAAATATTAACCAACCAAAATATTGGTGACATGTAAATAGTATATTCTCCTCCCACTGTGTAGGAGTGAAAACATTCAACATTGATGTGCAGCAGGAATGGTAAGATTAGCAAAACTGCTTGATGATTCATATGCAAATAACCATGCCGAGTGCTGTTCACATCCAGACTTATTACCTCTGGCACATTCACATACTACAGGTATGTTTTGCCACATGGTAGCCAGCTAGCATAGGGATTGCCTTCACGAAAACAGTGCCTTTGCCCTTGTTCTCTGATTCCATGCCCTCCTTCTAGTTAGTACTGCTGCACCACTGAGGGCTGTTAGCGATGCTGTGTGCAGGTGCTCACCGCTAGCTCCCTTGGGCAGCTCCTCACTAAGCAGACTGCTGATGTTCATCTGCTTCTGTCCTGTGGTGCAGAGAAGAGGAGGAAGCTGCTTCTGAGTCATTCACCCTGCTCCCTTGACAAATGAATCCCATGGGATGGCGGGATGTGTGAAGCCATGTATCCACAAATATTTTCCTCCGGTTTCAGAAGTGGACAAACATTTATGGCTTTAGTTATTTCTTTAGTAATAACACTCGAACTTTGATTAGCTTTGTTACAGCTTTTAACAAGAACACCCCTTTTTTACTGTTTGACGTCTGGTTTATCAGCTTCTCAGATGAGCTGCATTTCATATTACTCCTGCTATTTCACAATTTTTACAATTGCTCTTTCTTTAGGAATATAACAACAGTTTAATTACATCATGATGTTAAAACACTTCATGATGTCTTAAATCGTCTGTTATCTGATATGACACAAAAAAGCACATTTTGGTTAGTGTTGCTGAACTCTGATAAGTAGAACTAACAAGTGTTTAATTATATCAATCAAGATATCAATATTAAAGGAAAAAAAATCGTTGTTTCCAGCCACCTTTTTTATTTTTATAGGAGTTTTTGGGTGTGTTGTGTTTTAAAGAGCAGACAGTTCTTGCAGGGAGTAGTCAAACCTAATTCTCATGGAATGTATGTTTCCAGTAAAATACCACTAATTCAAGCGGAGTTCCCAAGTTTCTTTCTGTCAGAGCAATGCAAATGACATTTTCAAGAAAGAATGGAAACACTGGTCCCACAGGGATTTGTAGGAAAGACAGTCACTCACACTTGTGTATGTAAAAATTACGTATAGCTAAATACGATAATGGATTCTCAAATGTTACCAGCCTACTGATTGAGAATGAAAAAACTTGAACTAAACGTTTTTCTTTTTTGACGTTCTGATTTTTTTTCACTTCTCCGTAAAAAATAAGAGGTTGGATTCAGTGTTTGTATAGAGACTGGTAGGAACCTATGTGCTTTAAAAAGAAAAATGTCATTCTGTAAGACTGAATGTAAATACAGTTAATTTGAAATATGTTTTTGCCTTAATGGTTTAAAAAAATAAAGTATTTTTAAAATGAAATTAATGACCCATGCCAATGTTTTATTTCCAGGAAAATAACTCATGGTGGTGGTGTGGTTTTGAGACAAACATTGTTACCCTCTGCTGACTGCCTCTTGTACTTTATCCAAAGCTGTGGCAATGTCTTAACTAAATCTCTCTTTTGATGAACGTGCACACATGAATAGCTTTTACGAACAAGAATGTAGCTCTGTTCTGAACTCATGTATAACCACTTAGGTTCTCAACTGATAGCTTGTATAAATATTTGCAGAATCAGAACCTGGGGAGTGCAGGGTGGTGGCACACCTGGAGAATCCTCCCAGGTTCTCTATTCCCGCCCATCATTCTTGTGAGAATACCGGTGGCATGAATGGGTGTTTTGTGTGCTTCCAGTGTAATTAAGAATTCTAATGATTTTGCCTTAATTTGATATACAAGGCCCTCCTTCAGAAAACACTTAGCTGCTTAACTTTATACCAGCGAGTAATTTTGCAATTTTAGTAGTGAGCAAGAGCGGATAAATCAAGCTTTGGTGGGCACAGTGCCAAATTCTGGGGGGTTAGCATCAAGTATTTAAAAAATGAAAAAGTATTATATACATTTGCTATAAAATAAGATGTGGGTATTACAGGTGTCTTTAAAGATGTTTCAAATATCATTCTGTTTTTAAAGCATTGATGTTTGCAAATTAACTGTTAAACATTTCTTTAAGTTAGGAACATGCATGTAATATATATGCATTGTTTCCTTCAAGGGGATTTACCCCTTTCTGGGGATTTACTGAATTGGTAAGAAAAATTACAGTAGAGTGTGAAGAATCACTTTTTTTTTTCTTCCATCAGCTGTGTATTGGAGCATTGAAGGTCTGGTTTTCAGCAGCAGAAAGTACCTGGGGAACCCAATAAAACCAAGTTATAAAGGCTCTGTATATCTTGAAAAGAGGGCCTCATAGCTGATAAGTGAATGCCTGCGTTCAGTAGGGATATTAGAATGCAGAATACACAAATATTAATAGTTGGGCACAGATAATAACCCTTTACTGAATTACATGTAGGTCAGCCTCCTTTCCCTAATGCATGGACCACAGATGACAATGTATCTGACAAATCTGGGCTACTGTACCACTTTGTGGTACTTGCTTTGAAGTAAGTTTTTCTTCACCTAAAAGGTGCGTGTAACCAGGTAACTGTGAAGCAGAGGTATCCTTAACTTAGCATTTTCTGTTGTACTGTACTTAAACTAGGTGTACAGGGTCAAATCAAAGATTGTGTAGTTTCAGATTTTGCCCCCGTTTAATACCAATTCCACTCCCCCCTCCAGCTGAACTTAAGTACTGAAAGGTAAAGTAATTTCTGAGGGACTTAAATGATTCTTAGATTGTGATTGCAAAGATAATAATTATGAATAAATGAGTTAACTGTGCTTTTCTTAGAAGGCACAGAATAAGTTGAATGGGAGGGAATACAGCTCAGAGACCAGAGAGAGCCTTCCCAGCACACAGTGGGTACACCTTCCATGGCTGTGGCATGCCTACACGTCATGCTACCCAAAGGCACATTCTTACTGAGGTGTGAACTGCTCTAGCCACGCTTTTAAAACCTCCTTTCAGGCTAAGAGTTTAAATACAACCTGCTGCAAATGTTGTGAAATAAAGGAAATAAACAGATAATGTTTGAGAAAGACATTTGTCAGTACAAACACATGATGTGATTTCACATAAGTATGTTGGTTTTTGTCAGCTTATGCCTACAGTTTTAAGATGGAAAGGCAATATGATTCCATTTATAGCACCTCACTCTTCAGAATTCTGATTTGAGAATGAAACTGAATTGAAACAAACTAAACTGAAATTTAATGCTATTCATTTTAAGTAAGTTTTATATCACTTTCATTGAAAGAATAATACAGAAGGACTCTAAAATATTAAATTCTCACATGTAACTTTTTTAGGCAATTAATGATGCGCATGTTTTTTATGTCTTAAAGCAACCAGAGCTTGAAAAATATACTAATAGGTCCACCGTTGCTACTCCTGGTAACTGCAAGAAATTCCAATCTCCAACAGGGAAAACCAATATCCTGGGCTCAGTAAAAACAGAATGAAGCATTTTAGGACATTAGAAAGTCTTAATGAACTTAAAATATCTCACTATGTTGATTGCTTTTTAACAGATACACAGTTTTAAATTTAAATTTTCCTTGTAATTAAGTCAATGTCAACACAGTTAATCATGAAATTAGTATTTAAACTAAACAAATTGCTTTTTCCCTAACAATTTTATGCTTTTTTCTTTTCTTTTTTGACTGAAACTGTTCCTCAGATTCCTACTGTAGCTGTTCAATTGCCCAGTTTAGGAAGGAATTGAGCTTGGGAGCTAAACCTTTCTATTTCCAGATTAAGCTAGACATAATAAGGGTCCTTAACACCTCCTATTGCTGTGCACACATGGGCTGGAAGATTGAATAGAAAGTGACTGCAGACTTGCATCACATTTCATTTTTTTTTATTACATTATAAATGCTCTTACCTTCAGAAGTCTTAATGCTGTGATATTACTGAGATTAGGATCTTGAATCCAGGTATTTCTGTGGGTATCTATGACATTTTCTCCCAACAGTTTTATTTTACGCTTAAAAATAAAGCTTTGAATTTCTTTCCTACTGTAATCTTACGAAGCTAGCACTGTCAGGTTAACACTTGGTATATATCAACTTTCTTGGACATATACCGAATTATATATACCAAATGGATAAATCTCTCTGATTTTTCATAACACTGTGGGAGTGTCAAGAACAATACAAAACAGTGAAATAACAAATGAGAAATTTGGACATACTTCCTATACTTTAACACTGTTTATTTTTTTTACTATATGCATTTGGCATGTGACAACAGGCTTGTCTGCCTTTCTTTCTAACTTTTCAACACCTTAAGGTGTTATTGCTGGTGCTGCAACTGCTGCATGATGATGCTTGAAGCCAAGCCAGTTGTAAGGAAATATGTCACTGTTTTCTGTAGTAGTGAGCTGATAAAGGTCACTTTAAAAGGAGCAACATGATAGTCTTAAAAAGGAGAGAGCAGAAAGTGAAGCCAAAGAACTCTCTCTCTGTCTTGTCCTTCAGTATTTATGTTCTTGTATCCATCTTTTTACCAGGGAAGGATTTTTTCTGGGGCTTTCTTTTATCCATGTCTTCTTGTATTTCCAAAGGAAAAGCCTGTAGGTTTTCATTCACGCAGGGGAGACAGAACCTTTTGGAATAGAACAGACTACATTCCTGTTTAAAAAAAAAAAAAAAAAAATGTTAGTGGTACACAAAATGGAACTGCTTAAATTCCAATCTCATTAAACCACATTCGTATTTAGAATTCTTCTTATGAATTAAATTATTCTTCTAGTTTAAAGAACAAAGCAATTTTGCTCCTTCCTTTTCAGTAATTCTAACATCTGGTTAGAGCTAACTGAAAAATAAAAAACTGGACTGTAACAATTGCTAACCAAATGAACTATCACATTGTTCACTTTAAAGAACTGACCTTCATCAGCTTACTACTACAGAGAACAGTTACTCATTTCCTTTCAACTGGCTTTTCCTTCAGCCACCATCCGTGATTCTCCTGGAGTTATCACTAAATTCTGAGCAGGAGTTAATGGGTTAGCGAGAGCTGCTGTTGCTGATGGATTATCCCTGGAGAGTTAAACAAGAATAAAGACATCAGTTCAGATGGATCAGAACATCTTTCTGGGAGTAAGAGATTCTTCTAAAGCTAAATCTTCATTTAGCTGTTTGAGATTTCTCCTTACTGGGAGGATCTTTTGACTTTCTGCACTGGCATTTGAGACTTACAGGCTCAGAAAGCTCTTCCTCACCAATTTCCACAAAATGGCCTGAGGGCAAACACTATGACACTGTGATCTGGCATAGTTAATGTTCGATTTGGTTAGCAAGTGTTAGAGACCCCAAATTTATTTTTCATGCAGTTAGCTCTAACCAGGTGCTACAGTTATGGAACAGGAAGAAGCAAAATTGCTGGAATATTTTGATCCATTTGCAGTGCAGAGTTTGGACAACTGAAGGAGAAGTTTATTACGGTGTTATTTCTTTGCCATGCACGGGGTTCTGTTGTGCCGATCACTAAATTCCAAATAGGATTTAACAGGTAAGCTAGGGCTGGTGATGCTGATGGATTTATTCATGGGGTTTTAAGCATAAAGACATCAGATGGATCAGGACATCTTTTCAGGAGTAATGGATTCCATGGGTTTTACCTAAATAGCAAAGTTTTCCTCTTGCCATGGTCATTTGTGACTGGTCTTTCTCTGGGGGCTTGGCTTGGATCTTTCCACATTCCTGGTCTCACTTTTGTTTCCCATGCCTCTGTCTGTACTTCAGCAGCAGGCAACATATGATTACAACAAAATCGCAATCACCCTGTCTCTGTGTGACTTTCAGTCCTGAGGAACAACTTCTCTTCACCTATTGTCCTTTTCTGCACTGGCTGCCAGGCTCCTTCATATTCACAGCAGTGTGAGACCTCAGTCTCCAAAAAAGCACTCTGAATGGTCTGAGGCTGGATTTCAGTTGCCCAGACTCCACAGCCTATTGTTTTTTGTCTCTTGATATCCTTAATACTTTAAGCTTCTGATTAAAAAGGGAAGATTAGACTTTAAGTTGGTCCTACTATTGTTGTTTGTGTTACAATACGGCATTTGGCTCCCCCGCCCCCAAGTTAAGTTCATGGCTCCATAGTGATGGACTCTGCACCACAGGCTCTTGCTCAGCAATGGCACAGGGGAGGAGAGGCTTTTCCCCCTCTCTGCAGATGGGAAACTGATATGTTAAGACCCAGCGACTCACGGATATACAGGCACTCAGCTTGCAGCCTTTTAGCTGAAATGAGTTGCCAACTTCTGCTGATTTCCACCTATGGAATTCATGCAAAAACTATCTCTATGAACCATGCACTTCTGGATGCTGGGTCCACACACCTTTTATCCTCCCCTCCTCTCTTGGTAATGGGATAATTCAGCCTCTCTGTTGTTTTAACAGAGAGGCTGAATTGTTGACTTACACTTGATGTGTATATTCAAGCCTTTCTTTGATCATAATCCTGATAGGACTCTGCCCTTAGTTGGATAGCTGTTTAATTCTTTAATGTGTTTTACACCTTCTGCAACCAAGGGATCATTTTCATTACAAACTAAATAATCCAGTGCAGGCAAAACTGAGCTGCCAAAGCTGACTGACAGTTTATTTCTGCTTTCACATGGATCATGTCTCAAAGTTATATATAAAGGGGTATTATCTTAACCACACTTGTAAAGGAAACTCTAATGTAAAGGAAAGGTTGTGCCTAACCTTGTCCAGGACTGACCTTACTGGCCTGACCTGAAAGTTGAGTGGAAAGTAGTTGTAGTGTTACATTTATCATTTGATACCTACAACCATGTCTAGGATCAGTGTTTACTCAGCTTCTGCTGTGGTGAGCAATAAGGGATGAAATTTGTATTTCTTCTCTAAAAGCCACTTCTTTTAGGTGTTTAAAACCTCTGTTTAGTAAGTTTTGCAAGAAAAAGAAAAAGCTGTTTGAAATGACTAATATGGTCAGCTTTTATCATTTCCTCTCCCCTTTTCTGAAACAGGAAAAGGGCACTTGACCTTCCTAAGGACTTTTACCAGTAGTTTTATTATCCTCCTTTTTATATTTTTTGGCATGTTTTAAGACATTACAGATAATCAGTAGAATTATTCCACTTGGACCAAATGCACTTAATAATACATTATGCTAAAGATTGGTTCAGCACAGTGATGTGTGCTGCAAGCTGATTGAAGTAAGTGAACTTGGTGAAACTTCAGAGAACATTTGAAAAAGTGAGCTTATGACCATTATGCAGAACAGCTGCTAAGTCTTGACTTAGTTTGACATGGAAACTGTAAGGAAAGACCCTTCAGATAGCACAGGATGTCTCAAGAAAAGCCTAAAATTTGATCAGCCTCCTTGGATATAAAAGCTAGCAAATTTAATCCAAGCCCTTTGCCAAATCTAAGGTCAGAAAAGTCTTACTCTTACCACATGTTAGCCTACTAATATTTTGAATTAACATAAAAATGACAGCAATCTGTCACTGAAAGCTTTCCATCATACTGGTCCAGCTTCTTCGCAACAGTGGCCCAAGAAAGGAATTGAAGTTAACGAAAATCGTTCTATGTTAAAACATTATGGAAATGCTCAGTGTAAGGCTGAGTTGATGTACTTAGGTCAAGCATAAAAAGGAGCCAAAACAACCCACAGAGATATTAATCTGACTTTGGCTCTTTCTACTGCCTTGGAAAGTTTTTACTTCCCTGCACTCTAATCTTCCCTAAATGAAAGAGGAATAGTATGTGTTTACCTACTTTGGTGTGGGTGTTTAAAGCATTAATTATCATTTATGCAGATCTCTTTCAATGTTACCTAAGCAGCATTGCTAAATAGATTTTGAAACCATGGTTGTATGCATGATTCACTATCTAGCCTGGCCAGTTTGGTAAGGAATTTATTTTCAATAATTTACAAGCAAGGTTTTGCCTTGAGTGATACCAACAGGGGAATCTTGAATACTCAGATAACAACAAATAAATGACCGACATATTTCTCCAATAACTAAAATAGGCAAGAATGCCAAAAATACTAAAAGAGACTTTTACTGGCTCACTGCTAATGTCCTCCATGCTGTCATGCCCTAGATAAAATTTTCAGTTAAATAAATCTTTTAAAAGACAAAGGCCCGCCTTCATTCAGAAAAGGCACACCGTGTGGAAAGATACTGAGGCTGAAACTCAGACCTTCTGACAGATTTACTTGTCAGATTTGAAAATATCTGTTAAATCCTTCATAAAGTCAAACACTCCTTAATTTGGGAATGCAAATACTGAAATGAGCTCAAGTTTGCCCCAAATGTGCCTGAGATACTAATTCCGTGCTGATAAAAAGGAGGGATAAGCCTGACTTGTTATGGCAGGAATCAAGCTCACAAGCCCAAACTATCTGGCTATCTGTACTTGCCTGTATGTTTGCTCCTCCTCTGGCTGTGTGTGGGAGTGAGGCAGCTACCAGCCAAGACATGGACTTTGTCACTAGGAAGATCTTGCTCACATGTCAGCTTTGCCTCCACACAGTGCACACACACACAACTGCCCTAAGCTTGTTGGCTCTGGAAACTTGACCCAGCTATTGAAAACATAACCAGAGAGCACTGAGGCTTCATCTGATTCCCATAGGAATCCTCAGGTAGTTCCAGAAAGAAAAACAAGTCTCAGTTACAAATTCTAATCTGACCTTTTGGTGATTTTCATTCATTTAAATGACAAAAGTGACTTCAGAAAAGGGAAACAAACCTGATCAGGAGAAATGTGTTATTGCACACCCTCCTTAGTGCAGTGGGCCAAATCTATCCTTAGTACTACCTCCCTGCGAGTTAGGTTAACACCTAAACTTATCCAAGAGTGCCAGTTTTCTTCAGCTGTGTCTGTATAACCCTCTAAATTTTGTCATTGTAATTTGACCTTTTGTTTTTTGCTCAAGAGAATTTCATATGCATTGGCATATGAACTGTCTCAGTTGTCCATACCATCTCACCTCCGGCTCTGATCAAGTCAGAGGTGTTCTTCATCCTACCTTCATCCAATTATAACTGGCCATCAGAAACCACAAAAAAATTCCACACCTTTACAAACTGCACATCTGTTTTTTGTTGCTTTGTTTGTTTTAAACTCATGCTGCCAGCTACTTTCATCAAGTATCACGTCACTGAAGCTGGCCCCTAGCAACTGCAGCCAAAGAATGGGCTGAAAAGGTTGTATTTGAAAATTGCTAAAGATGACACGTTAGCTGACACCAAGGCACATGTGATTTAAGCACATTGCTCCAGGTGAAGAACAGCCACATTGATAGAGAAGGCCAGGATATGGCTGCTCTCTGTGCTGACACAGTGGTGTCTGGTTGAACAAACACATGCTGTTGTCCAAATAAACAATCTGATGACACGTCCTCATGGGTTGAATCACCCATGCATCTGACTATTACATGAGTCCTAAGTCTCTTTCAGCCACAGAACTGGCTTGATGGGGGAAAAGAGTAGAACCTTGAGTTTTCCCAATTCATTCTGCTGCCTCAAGGAAGCACAGTACAGCCTCCAGACACTGATAACTGTGTAATAACTTGTCTTCATTTTTGCTTTGAACTCACAGCAAACAAAGGGACCAGTTTGGCACTGAAGAGAACTTATTAAGACAACTGTAATTTTGCACCACCTTTCTGGACCGCACTCAGATTCCATAGCTTAAGGTTGCCTACCAGCTGCTATTCAAATTCATTCTTCTTTGGAGAGCTATCCTAGCATCGCACAACTATCCTCCCTGCTCACTTTCTACATCCAAGCTTTTGCAAACTGGATGGCAACCCTGTGTTGTGGATGCAAACCTAATAATCCATGGGCGTTCATAACCCCTTTAAGGAAGAAAAATCTACCATTGGTATAGTACAATATACTCTGAGAAGGAACCTTAAGGTCTTGAAGTAATATGTGACCTCCCCTTCATTTTCATGTGCTAATAAAGAAGAAAGAGCATGAACTGCTTTTGTGAAGCTAGACTGTGCTCTTCTGTAAATGACACACTTAAATTTGCTGATCATTTCTATTTTATACAAAGAGCTTTATCTGGGAGAATCAACAAGAACATACAATTAGCCCGCCTTAAAAATAGTCTCTTTGGGTTTTTGTTGCTTGCTCTTTCTCTGATAGATCACCAGGGCTGGAACAAAAAGTGATTGAAAAAGCTTGTTTTGATTGCCACTTACTGCACCAACGCACACTGATAGGCCACACAAACTGCACAGAGACCCAAGGATGAGGATTTTTTCCTTGTCAGGTGTGAAAGGATCCTTCATGACATAGCAGTCTTCCAAAAGCCTGTAAGAGAAGAATGTCATGCTTTCAAAGGTAGATCTTGCAGTATGGGAAGAGCTGAAAGGAGGCAGTTGCACAACTTTAAGTAGGATTTCTGTTCTGAAGCTGTCTGCATCTGAGTATAAAATAAAAAGAGCTTTCACTGCTCTTAATTATTTTGGTGCTGTAAAGCTATGGTTCCTACCTCTTGCTAGCAGGACCTACTAGCAGAGAACATTACAATGATATGAAATATTCTTACTTTATGTCAGAGACTGTACTGTTTGCTTCAGGGTAACAAGGGAAAGCATTTATTGATAATTTGGCAACCTGCTTGGGAAAGACTAAGGCATTATGCTTTCCGGGAGCTCCAGGCAAAACAGTGCAGAAGTCTGTTGGGTGTCTGTCTGCACAGGGCACCCTGCAAGGCTGGCTTATTCTTGCATCAGGCTTGGATTCTGTAGTAATACGGAGTACAATATATATTTAAAAGGTATTCTGTTAACTCATACTACCTTTTAATTGCCTACGTACACACACACATGTATTTACACATGCATCTGTAAGTGCATTCCTTTCTCCTTTCTCCTTTTCCCTCCACTCAATGAAAAAGTGGCAGGGCTTAAGCTTTCCACTGGTAGGAAGGATCAGGGATCTTTAAATGGCAGATCACCTTCTCAACAAGTCTTCTAGTGTACAAAGACTGGATTACCTTTACAAAGCTCCCCTTGCAAGATTGAGTCTTAATGTAGTTATCACCAGTGCAGAGTCCAGGCCATTTTACAAACCTTCAGGTTTGGCATGTTTCCTGCAGTACTGCAATTAGGCCCCATGAGTGGACCAGAAAATAAGTCAATAAAGATAGAATGCAAAGCTTTTTCTTCTATGCACATACAAAAATGTTATGCTTCTGCACTATTCTTTTGCTTTTTGAATCCCAGCAATTCAAATAAAGCTGAGATGCTAAAACCGAGCGTGGATAACCTAAAGTTAAGGTTCATGTTCAGCTTTGATTCACACTCTTTATGAAAGGACCTGATCAAAGGGGGTCCATTTCTCTTCTGAGTGGAAGAGGGGAAAAACAGTAGCACTATGGGATTTGGAATGATAAAAATACCTTTGCTTAAGGATAACACATCAGATCTCAGCCCAGCTAACTAGGTGGTGACCAACAGCTGTTTCTGTTTTGTAAGAAAGCGAGCAGTCTTAGTGGGATGAAACATTGAGTACATGCCTGACTTCCAGTTCTAGTGAGTTCCTGGCCATGTTTGCCTGTTGGGTTTGTTGAGTGGGATGGCCTCAACAGAGCTGCTCACGTATTTAAAGCTGATTTGTTCTGTGGAGAGTTTGATGTCTACAGACAAAGTAGTAACTGCATTTTTTCTGGTCAACCTATCCCTACTTGGCAGAGAAGAAAAAGGCTTGAATCTCCTAAAACGTAGGTATGTACTAAATTGCCACGCTTTAATGTCATACAATCAGACAAAGAATTTTCTAAGTTATGCAAGAAAGCATCGCTGTTCAAAACTCCACATGCCAAACAGCTCTTAAAAACTGTATTTACCATACATATTTAATTCATACAGTGTTTATGTTTTGCCCACATGACGTGGCCGCAAGGAAATGCTGTGCTGACACAGTCAGTGGTATTCTAGTAAGTAAATTATGGCACAGGTAAGTTGTAGGGTGGCCAGCAGGGCTGGAAATACATTAAATACAAAACTTTGCATGGCACTGAAGCGGGATCATAAAGTTGGTATCTGTCCTTGCTATCAATGCTGTACAATTTATTTTATTTTTTTCCGTTGGAAAAAAAAGAGGTCACTAAGTACCAAACCTCCTATTCAGGGCCAATATTGCGTATTACTGGGTTCACACATTGCACATCACTCCGCAGCACAAGGCTTCTGATGCCCATAGCAATACTGAAATCTGTAATGTGAAAGACTGTACTTACTCGATAGAGCGTGTGTTTGGTGGTTTCTGCCCATAGTACGTGTATGGAGCTGTTAAGCCACATAGCTGACATTTGAACTCTCCTGTAGGCTGAGGTTCTTTGGGAGAATCCATCTTTAAGTCACCTACAAGAAAAGCAAAAATCTTAGAGCTCCAAAATGCAGTACATGCCTGCAACTAAACAGAAAATTGACTATTGTAAACCCTCGTTAATACATCTTTTCTCCCAAACCAAGTTGGTTTCTTATGTCCCAGTTAAATTTCCAAATTCCTCAGGTGATAGGCTTAGAAATTACAGAGTAGGAGTCTAAATATAAAAGTTCACCTATTCACTTAGAACTTGAATCTGGTAAAAGGCCTGGAGCACAAGTCCTGTGAGGAGTGGCTTTGGGTTGTTCAGTATGGAGAAGAGGAGGCTCAGGGCAGACCTTATTGCTCTTTACAGCTGCCTGAAAGGAAGGTGTGGAGAGCTGGGGGTCGGCCTCTTCTCACAGGTAACCAGTGATAGGACCAGAGGGAATGGCCTCAGGTTTTGCATGGGAAGGTTCAGGTTGGAAATGAGGAGACATTTCTACTCAGAAAGAGCAGTCAGGCACTGGGACGGGTTGCCCAGGGAGGTGGTGGAGTCGCCGTCCCAGGGGGTGTTCAGGGAAAGGTTGGACGTGGTGCTTGGGGACATGGTTTAGTGGGTGATAGTGGTGGTAGGGGGATGGTCGGACCAGATGATCTTGGATATCTTTCCAACCCTACTGATTCTCTGTGTAATCACCCGGTATCTAGGTAGAATATTGGCCCATTCAAACCCCACAGGACGGAGAAGGTACTCTCAAAAATGTTTGGGTCTTTTACCTTTTATGAAAATAGGCAGAAGGAGACTCTGCTTTACCTTCATTGAAGATACCTGTATATTTCTATAAATGAGAGACTGAAATGAGATGACTGGAAGATTTCGGTCACCCACTACAAAAGTGTAGTTATCAACACAAGGCAGAAAACATCAGAAGCTGTGCTTTGTCAGCTTTGGTGTCTGTGATACTACTTGTTTAAAATCTTGGCCACGGATTTCCATTTGGGAGCTTAGCCTTCACTGATTCCACTATCTGAGAGTCACACTGTGCAGTTTTCAAAAAGTGTGGTGTAGCACGTATTCTTTTAGGACCGACTTTTTTGTGTATCCATGATCAGATCAAACACAGCTAACCATGTCCATGCCCAAAACTTGCACCTATCCATGAATGAAACGTGTTTACTTGTTTGCAAATCAGGTATCTTTGCTCACCTGCACCATTTTCTTGAATGGACACTTTCCCCCTGCAGCTAGTAAGAAATGTCAAGTTTTAGCTAATGCCCTCATGCCTTGCACAGCATGCAGCTTTCAGCTATAAACCTCTCATCTTTTTTTAAGTGAACCAGCGCCAGCATCAAGATGTTCAAAAGATGGATGCTAGGAAGTCAGATTTGGACAACATCTGAGCAGTTACACTGTCCATGCTCACAGCTGAGCTGACATCCAGCTCCCTGCTGCCTAAGGACAGAAGGTCATTCCCCCTCTTCTTGGCTTTCCATACATACCCTTCCCCTGCAGAGCTGATTCAGTTCACTAAGGCTGTGTCTCTATTTATGTTTCAGCTTAGGTCAGGGGTGTTCTTTGGGAATTAATTGCCTGACTGTCCCCACTTGGTCTGCATCATGAAGCAGTCTTAAAGCACACAAACTGGACAGTTTCAGATAGAGCTCACATGAAATACATGTATGTGCTCCAAAAGCACACCTAATACACCCCGACCTGAACACCCAACTAACAGGCATTCCCTCTACAGGATAGGACTTGAAATACCCTGAAACATATAGAGTGGGCAGCGGATACCTGGCATCAAATACTTCAGTCTATGGTTTTACTTACTGTAACACACTAGTTACTAATGTAGTCAAAAATAAAAGAGCTACCTTTTTTTTTTTTTTTTTTTTTAACCTCAATGCCTTTTTTTTTTCCTGTTGTGGGATAAATTGGCTTGCAGAGGAATCCAGTAACTTATAACAGTAGCAGAAGATAAGAAGCACAACTACACAGCCAGATGGAGAGGGCTGAGATGAGGGACCTGTATTTCCCTCTTTCAATGACAGTAAGCTGCTATTTCTGCTCACCGTATGTGGTGAAACTGAATCCTTAGAGACATATGCTGCTAAGGTGAATTGGGGGCAAGGTGAAGTAGAGCTGTGACTACTTGTCATGTAATATTCCAGAAGAACAGGGAGCCCCAAGATCCTCAGAGGTTACAGAGGCTTCATAACAGACACTTACTTCATAAAGTCCTACCCAGTTAAATCCTGAAACTTAACTTTGTGAATAATCTCCCTTACCTTGTCATTCTTTGACCACCAGCCTTTCCACTGCCATTCCTGGCATTTCTGTAATACAGGGAGTTCTTCAAATATAACACACACGGGGCTGGGTACTAGTTTCATAAATAAACACAACTCTTGAATACCTAAGGCAACTACATTTTTTGCAAAGTGATGTAAACCTTGGATATTATGTATTTTACCTACCTCATAGGGATGTGGAGAAAATTTAAAGTGCTTTCAGATTTTTCAGTTAACGTGTAAACATAATAACATATTTCTCCCTGTATAATAAAACTGGGATTCTTCAAACTATACAAATTCAAATAGGAAGCCTGCTTTTTGACCCTTACATTTTAGGTTTAAAACATAAGCCCCACAAACATACCTAAAGTTACTTTTTTTGTTGGCAGTCAGTAGCAATACTGAGACATTCACCTGTCTGAATGAAATTCAGTCTAGCACACTATGCAATTTTTGGACTTTTTTTTTAAGAGGAAATAATTAACCCTATAGAGGTAGAATATGGAAATCTGAATTAAATAGAGAACACCATCACAGTGATCGTTTTGTTAAAATAAAGCAAAATGCTAAGAAAAACAAAAACAAAAAAGGATATTTATGGCAGTTGGTATCACAGACTTTGGAATGAATGTGTCCTTATTCCAAGTCAAAAGAACAGCCCTGGCTTCAGAGCTGAAGTGTGTTGGATATAGAAACACCTGCTCTCATATAGACCACTGGAATGTAGAAGAGAATCTGTTCAGTGACTACCACTGGGAAGGAATGATATCTATGTACAAACAGATATTTGGCTATGCCAATTGAAAAGCATATGATCCTGCCTGCAAGGCACAGATGAATTTATGACGCTTTCCATTTTACTTCAAGCCTGTAAGTCACTAGTATCAGCTGTACCAAGTTTTATTTCATTGGGCACGGCATTTGTCCTGAGAGCTTGTCTACACAGCAGCGCTTAGGAAAGTTAAGGTCACTAACTTAAGGTGTGAAATTGACACAAACACAGATTTCAGGCTGAATGCTCCCACTTGGAAGAAAAGTTTGCTATATAACAAAGTAAAGCCATTCTCCTTCTGTAGAAAGAATTTTAATGACATGTAATAAACTTTTTGTTTATGCATGTGCTTCACAGCTTTAGTCTAAACCAGCAAGCAGAAAAATCCTACTCAAAAAACTTCCGGTACTTCCAAAAACCTAATCTGCAATTAAAGAAACATATTTTTATGTCAGACAACAAATGTATGAAAGCAATTCTGGGATAAAACCACAGTCAAGATAGACAGACACTGACAGACACCAAGTATATACCAATTACAGGATGAAGGATCTCTTGAGGAGGTAAAAGTCAAAGACGCTAATCCTATTATAATCATGACAGGTAAATTTGTGACCTCAAGTGACTTGAGTCATTGCTAGTAATGGCACCTAATGTTTCTGTTTTCTTTGGGAATTTCTGAAGAAGCATGTTGTCCCAGTAATGTGTACCAAAAAAAATCTTCAAGAACAGCTTGTTTAGAACCAAATTCTGCCAAGGGCTTGACATTTTGGCTGTAAGCCGCAAGGTGCTTAAACACATACTTACTTGAAACACACGCACAGCTCTTCTGAAAAGAACAACACAGCTACCCACACACGCTTGATTACGAAGCGAACACTGAACTAGCACGCTCAGCAGAAACCTGCCAAGTCAAGCCCAGATTGCTGCAGGACGCGTGAGGTTGGCCCAGGTGTCATGGCAAGAGGTAAAGCACACCGATCTGAATGCCTTGCTGAGGAAATAGTTACAGTAAAAGAAAGGCCCAGGTTAGACAGCAGTGCTGTAACAGTGTTGCTTCATGCTGACTGATATATGATATCCTATGGATGGAGGAAATGGCTCCCAGTGTGGTTCTCTAGGGACTCCTAAAAACTTCAGGCCAGTTCTGCTTGGAGCATTCTGCTAACAGGCCTGGAAGGCAGGCCAGAAGTAATAAATCACCACCAAATTGTCAGGGTCAGTGGCAAAGTAGCGGCACTGATAAGTAATCTGATTTTCTTTGCTTGAAACCTTGTTAGTGCAAGTCTTTACAATGCAAAGGTTAAAGCCTCTCTTAATACTCCATGGGAGACTTGTGTATTTCTGAATCACCAGTAAACTAGAGCAATTATGCAAGAAACAAACTGCTTACAAACACAGACTTTGGTCGGAAGGGATGTCAGCTAAAACCAACACTGACACACCTTTAATCCTCTCCAATTAAACCCATTTCTTCTTCCTGCCAAGATTTTCCTGCCATATCCAGTGCTGATGATGGTGACCTATTAAAATATTCACAGCTTGACCCTCAGTGGGAAGGAGTGCTCTCTGCTGGAAGGCTAGGAGCCACTGAATTCATAGCCTGGTCGATGCCAAGCTACTCTGAAGCATTTGTCATGACATAAATTTAAATCCACTTCAGCACCAAGAATGCACTCACCTCCTTCAGAAAAATCATCCATTGCCCAACTGCCCAGCTAACGATGAAGCAGCAGAACCTTCTTACTGCTAGTTAATCCCCGCCTGAACAGCTCTCTCCCTCCAGTTCTTTCATGTTATTGCCCTGAAGGCGTGTTTAGGGCACCTGTTGGCTGCCTCCCTGCTCTTCCTGAGTTGACTTACCTTGGGCTCGGGGTAAGGAATTAGCCCGGGAATGCAATTTCACCAAGCGCAGCCATTTGGAACTTCTACTCTTATTACCTCTCCCAAAGATCACTTGACTGAATTAAGCCTTGACTTGTTGCAGCAACTTCTCCCTTCAGGCCAGGTGGCTGGTGCTGGTCCTGCTGTGCTCCCTCTGCTCTGAAAGAACTGATGTCTCAGCAGGACACAGGCTTACCTCTGGCAGGCCCCAAGCCCTACTTTTTAATGACGGCTAGCCTGGGTCCCTGTGGCATCAGGATAAGCAGCCCTGCCAGGGACTACGTTATAGGGCTCGCCCTGGAGGTGGCCAGAGATATGAAAGCATGTTTTCTGAACACTTGGAGAGAAGTGTTTGAACAGGGGAAAGAAAGGAATAATATAGGCAAGCAAATCAAAAATATTCCTAATGTAAAGAGGTTTTAGGAACATAAGATTCATCTCAGAAAGGCACCTATCGATAAAATGCATGGTTTAACAAAGCTGAGAAACTATCACTTAAACAAAAAAAAAAAAACAAACAAAAAAACACAACACAAATAGCCCAACCGCTCCTTACTGGAACATGGCAGCAAGCCAGCTCTGAATTAGACAGCATTTAATAAAGAATTTCAAATTAGGTGAGAATTTAACAGCTTCACACAGGAATGCTGCAACAGGGCACCAGCTCCCGGGTACATAGCACTGTCCTCTAGTGGACACACCGGAACTGTACAGCCCTGCTGCTTGGCCCTAGTGCTGACAGTAGCTGCTGGGGATTCCTTTTCCAAAAGCCCCACTGAGTGGATGATGCAGTGAGGGTGAATTAGAGTAAAATAAAGGCAAGTTGCCCAAGCACACATGGCAGAAGCCATCTCTCCATGTCTGTCTGCAGAAGCACAGTGAGTGGTGGACCTCTGTTGTGTGACAGAACAACCCTGCAGAGGGAGAACTGCAGGGTCATTAGTTCTTCCTTTCCTTCCCCTCCTTGGGCCCTGAAATTATCTACAGTCTTTTTTGTTCTTTTGCTCAATTCCCCTCACTACTCTTTCTTCTGCTCTCCCAACTGGCTTTCCTAAGCAGAGTGCAAATCTTATCACACAATGCTAACCGTTCTATATATATAATGGCCTAGAAATTAATTAATTAAAATAAGGACAAGAAAATTTGTTTCTCTTCTCACAGCAGTTACAGGGACTTGGTGAAGATGCGGTAACATAGGACACCCAAACAATGAAGTGAAAACAATTAATACAACACCACTGGATCACAGCTATTCCTTGCCAAAAGAGGGAAAGCAGACCTGAGGTCTGATTTCATTAAATCTCCCTTCTGGTGTAACCAGATTAAGTAAGCATGCTACAACCATAGGCTACCCAGTCCTGAACTAATTTTGTTCTCCTTCCAAACTGCTGCTCCCTATTATAGCTTTGTTAGATTAATATCCATAGTGGGGAAGAAGAAGGTAGTAAGGCTCTATTAATATATGTGATGATGCTTCCCTTTAAGTTGTCCTTTAAGAAAAGTTATGGTGGGCCACACATGTACCAGTGAAAGTACCAGCATGGTTAAGCATAATCTAAACTTAGTGCAACAGTTTCCTACATAGCCTAAAATAGGAACACTAAGATTTGGTGGAAATGCAGAAGGGAAATATGGGAAATAAGACACTGCAACTTGACATAATCCTGAAAGAATTAAATATAGCTTCAGTGATTTATCTCTCTGCAGAAAGCCAAGTTGGTACTGGAAGGAAATATCCCCTACTACGTGGGGTTGCATGCTGCAGTGTCCTTATTGTGACAGCCAGCGCCAGCTTTCCTGTGACCAGCAAAATGTTCTTATTAACATACCAAGGGAAGAGAATTCTTTCTAGCAAAATGTGGCTGATGCTCTCAGTTTGTTATGACTGATCAGCAAGTGAGGACTTCATAACAGAGAAAAGCAAAACCTTTAAAAAGAAAACACAGAACCCTTGGGGTGGGGTGGTATGGGGTGCATACTGCCTGCTTCAAGGAAGTTTGAGAATACAGAACAAAGTCCTGACCCCACTATATGCGTAACACACTCATGCACATAGCCCCCCACACCTTCTTGCAGGCACATCCTCTTCTCCCGAAAGGCGCATTCCTCAAGTTTTGTTGTCCCAGCTATTGTGAACAGCAAGCATGAGAAAAAACAACAAAGTGAGAGATGTTCCCTATGAAGCCCCCTCCCACTTAACCCTTAGAAACCCTTTTCTTTTCCAGAGTACTTGTTGGGAGCTCTAAAACTTCCTTTTTTTTTCCCAATTATGGTGCAAATCAGAGCTTCACAAATGAGCTGGCAGCTTCAAGCCTTCCTCACTTATGCATGTAGTAAATTATTTTCCTGACATGTAGCGATACGAAATAACATGAAATCAGCCAGGCACTACCACCATGAACTTTTACCATGTTTTCCAGTTAGTCCCTTCGCTCTTCTCTGAAAGACTTTGCTTTCAACCATTACTTGGATTACTTTGTCTAAAAGCACGTACAGAAGCTAAGGCTGAACTTGCTTCTCTCAATACCGGATACTCTCACTAAATATCAAGGCTCATTTCCATGATTTTCTGTAGACACAGAGAAATGATATTCATTATTAGACAGTGTGAGACATCTTTTACCATAGACAGACAGTCTATTGTTTTTTTTTTTGTGTGTGTGTGTGTGTGTTCTGTATTTTGAACAGCCTGTCAGCCAAGCATGTGCGCTTATGCTCTTCTTCCCCTCCAGAAGTTCTTTTGAACAAATTTCCTGCTCTGTTCATCACAGGTGAAACAGGAAGGAGGCAGGTTTTTCACACTGACAAATCTCACGATGGATGAAGGTGCACGGATCTTAGAATTCACCCCAACAGAATGGTCTGCTCCTACTGGGTCATATACAAGGAGAACAGGTGTGCAAAATCAGGGTAGTTGTGTCTTGCTGCCCTAGAATCTCAATAATCCAGTGACAATCAACATCAACCTCAATGAATCATAAATATTTAAGTAGCTTTTCTTTGCCTTAAGATCTCTTTGTTCAGCAAGTGTAAATGGGGCTAAGACCTCACTGAGGACCAAGAGAAGAGTTTGAACTGCAGAGTAGAGCTAGTTAAGTAGCAAAGTTGATGGGGTCTTGACAGAAATTTTATAGGCTGTATGTTTAGGTCAAGTGTTTGTAAAACTATCAGATACAGCTACAGATAGCACTTAAGCATACTGTGAAGTTTATGTTACAAATTTAAATGCACATTTCTTTTTTGCACATATGCATACACCTGTGTTTAATTAGTAATAACTGAGCAATGGAAAAATTATGACAAAATTAACAGGAGGGGAAAGAAGGCTTAGCAGGGAATTATCGGGTAGTTAGAAGACAACCTTATTGGAGGCAACATGTTTCATGGATCAGCTGGCCAGTAAAAAGGAAAAAACAGAAAGAGCCGGTAAAAAGGGTTCAACAGGCACTGAGGAAGGAACACTACAGAACAATCATTGGCCCACTTGTGATTTATACTGGTTGAACGGGTTAAAAAAAAAAAGTTTAAGCTTTTTTGGTTCATTGATTTTTGTGCCAACAAACACTCTCCTTTAGCAAAAAAGGCCAGCGCAAAGGTAATGTACACACTATTTCTGTTTAGTGCCTCAACAAGTCTGAGGAGCAAGTTTCCATTCCAAGTCGGGTTGATAACGGCATCCAAATCTTTTCCTACTGTTGCCAACAAATAAAAACCTCCTTCAGTCAGAAAACCTCCAAGCAAGTATGCTCTATGGTTGCTCTATGTCTGCAGAGTAAATGTTTCGGGGGATTCTCCAGTGCTCTTGATGATGCAACTTTGCCTTATTTGTAGAGATGTACATCCTTATGGTATTTGATTTGAGATATAAAGTAATCTTGCTGTTACAACAGCTATGTTGCCCAGCAAATTTCTCCCTTTACTTCACAAATCAATACATGAGGAAAACAATGTCTTTGACGTTCCATCTTGGAGCATGAAGGACTTAAGTTTTGTCTATGTATCTTTAATTTCTTATCACTTTAATTATAAGGAGATAGCTAAAGTAGTGTAATACCTTCATGTAGCATTAGTTCTGGTTACAAAATTGTGTCCGTATGAGTACACCTTGCCAACTAGACCAGTTAAGGAAAATTAATCAACATATGGTATCTTTGCATTAACATAGGTCTACCAGTCCCTCCAAGGTGTTATATTGGTAAAATCAGAGCAGGGAAAAGTACTAATGGAAAAATCTTAACTAATGCACAAACATGTGAGTGCTGAGGAGTGGTCTCTTCTCCCAAGCATCATATGGTAAGATGAGGAAATGGCCTCAAGTTGCGCCAAGGGAGGTTTAGGCTGGATATTTGGAAAAATTTCTTCACTGAAAGGGTTGTGGAGCATTAGAACAGGCTGCCAGGTTAGCTGTTGAGTCACCATCCCTGGAGGTCTTCAAAAACGACACAGATGTAGTGCTTTGGGACATGGTTTAGTGGTGGGCTTGGCAGTGCTAGGTTAAAGGTTGGACTAGATAATCTCAGAGGTCTTTTGGAAACCTAAATGATTACAAGAGTCATGCCCAGTGTGTTTTCTAGGAGTCACACTGGTATTACAAACTACTAGGACACATCCAATTCTATGATTCACAGATGCCTAGAGATGGAAGACAGCTTAAGGGACTATTCAGTCCATCACACTGAAGACACAGCTGGCTTTATGTTGATGTCACTTTGCAGTGTTCACAGACTCTCCTTCCAGCTCAGGTGCCTCAGAGACATTGTTATAAATGAAGTCTCAACTCAATCTGAATTTAGTAATATTTATAAAAGAAATATTCATAAGAAGTATAACAGCTATAAAAGGTATAAAAGGCAAGTAAAAAGCACTGGGTGTGCGGGGAGTCTACGCTCCACCAACACGCACACACAAACATCAAACATTCTAAATATACAGAACATTGCTTTACATACTAAATGCAAGTATGCCTATACATTTGTACAATCAGAAAAGGTAACAAACAATCCTTTAAGTTCCATGACTTAACAGTCTCCATTTTCCATTCCTTTTCTTGATTACTAACAAGCCTCCATTTTCCATTCCTTTTGAACAATATGTCTCACTTTAAGTTGTCAAGCAACTCGGTCTTCAGGCCTTATGTATCCTGTTCTTCCCAGATTGAAGAAAAACATATCAATCTCCTTTTCAAGGCCAATGTGGCCTGGGTCAAAAGGCACGTTCAGGTCAACAGAGAGCGTAACAGCAAAAGCCTTTGATGGCTGTAGCAGTAGAGGGGCCGATGGCGTAGCAGTCGGATCAGTAAAGGAGCCTGCAGCTCCCTCACTATCTGGCAAGCCACACGTTTCTGACTGTGGTCCCACATGGCTCTTTAAGGCCTCAGAGATTGCTCATCAGGTGCCAAGCAATCCCACTGCAACCTTGTCATTTTTAGTTGCAGAGTCCCACACCTTGACCTCAGTTTGGTCCCATATTTCAGGCTCATAAACTGTCCAATAAGGAAAATTATCTGTAAGTTTACCAGGACAGTCTTTGTTCCTAAGGACATATGATTCCCCATAACGCGCAACTGCTTACCAGCGAGAGGCAGTTGTGTGCACAGGTCCGCTTCTCTCAGCTCGAGGTTCTCTCCAGCTCCAGTGCACCTATTTCCAGTGACTTTCTGTACGAGCTTCTCTGAGAGGTTTGCTGACTCTGGCCGAAGCTATCTTCATGAGGCGATCAATGTGCCTGCTCCCGTCCTGGTCTCTGTTCTGCCAGCCTGTTCCTCTTCACTTCTTTTTCCTGCTTGTTTATTGATGTAACTTCATCGTGTTGCCTTTTTTATCTTGAGGGCAGGCTCCCCTCTTGTACCCTTCTCCCCACAGCAGTTCTTTTCAAAACAACTTTTCATTGGTCAAACAACTTTGAATACAACAACAGCAAACACCCAGAAATTTCCATGCCTTAACAGCTGGAGAACAAGAAACGCTAGACTGCATGGAGTCTCCTGAATCACCCTTCTTTGTTCCCTCTAAGCTCTTTTACATTCCTGATGGCCTCATCATTAGGAGTCTAATGTTATCTCAACCACGGGGCTTTCCAACCCCCATGGCCACACTCTCAAATCTCCCCCTTCTTTATTAATATCAACCATTTTCTCGACGCGAATTACCACTCCATATGTAACACATGACTAACCTCTCTTCTTAGGAGAGGACCCTCAGCACCTGTGAGACACGGAGGTATTCCCTGGGGTTCTCAGAGCAAATTCAGAAACTGTGCTGCCACCTCTCGTACATATTGCAAACTTCGCATTTTTAAAAGGCAGCTGAGTACCCGAGGGGCCATTTGTACTCCCAATGAGGCGCTCTCGCCTCCCTCTTCCCGTAGAGACGGCCCTCCCAGCCCAAAGCTGCGATCCCCAAACCACCAAGGTCAGCTGCACGCAACCTCGTACCAGCAACGCCAGAGCCCCACTGGACACAGGCTTTCCCCCAAGCCCTTAAAGCCCATTCCCCGCGGCCCTTCGCAGGGCTGCACCCCACCGCTCCCCGCTCGGCTCAAAGACCCTGGCAAATAAACCGGGCGCCCCGTGCCCGCGGGGCTGCACAGCAGAGCCCGCGGCGCACGCACAACCACCGGGCCCCGGCGCCGGGCCGCGGCCGGGCCGCGCTGTCCCACCTCTGTCTCGGCCGAGGGGAGGGGAGGGCCGGGCCGGGCCGGGCCGGGCGAGGAGCGGCCACGGGGCCCCTGGCTCAATGGCTTCGCAGCGCCGCTTCCGCCTCCGCCTTCCGGCTCCCCGCTAGGCCCGATCCCGCCCCGCTCAGTGGAAACAATGGATAGACGGCAATTAATCGCGGCTAATAATAAGCTGTGAGCGGTGATACGGTGCCTGGCTGTACGTAGTGTCCGTCAGGCCAGCCGGGAGCACCACGCTCCCTGCAAGCGGCGCTCGCAGCCGGAAATTTCAGGAGCGAAGGTGACGACGGTGCCTGGCACCTTCTGTGCCTTTACCAGAGAAGGTACAAAATAACGCCATTTAACCCGTGCGGTGTGCTCTGTGACACTGCTGAACTACTCCAAGATCTGAAGAAAGGCTCATGCCCAAAACAATATCTTTTTTTTTTTTTTTTTTTTTTTTTGAAAAACAAACAAAATACATCTTTGGTCTTGAAAAAAGGTACTACCTCTCTTCACAAACTTCATCTAACACCTTTCTGAAGGAATATAATTCTCTTCCCACCAGCAGCTCACCCCTCTGCAAATGGCTGCAAATCCTGCCATGGCAGCCCTGTCCGCAAACCATGTGCCTTGTTACCTCCAGGCTGTCATACATGGTTTTGGTGTGATGGTTGGGAGTGCTCAGGCAAGGAGTGAAGGTAGCGTTTTCTGGCGCCAGCTGTTGTGCAACCTGGATGAGATGCGGAAGGAAAAGAGGACTTAGAGATGACTGTTGCAGACAGGAGCTGACCATGCTGAGTGATAAAACAGACCTCATTTCTGAAAATCTGTGACGGGCAACTATCAGTTTTCCCAAATTTCAAGAGAAACGCAGGGCCCTTTATTCCAGTAACTCTCTCTTGAGCACTCCTGGCCAGGTGAGGCTGCCTTCTCTGAGGTTATTTGCAGCATAAAAAATACTGTCATGGCATTCCAGTGCAGCTATTGCACTTTGAGTTCCCCAGGAAAGCAGCAGCAGCAGAATGTAACAGGTGTTGTTCACAATTTTGGTATTGTTTCACAAACTTTGTGGATGGAGGTCCACAAGCTTGGTAGGAGAGGCAACTGAAGGAGGGAGCCTTGTGTTGGCAGGATAGCCCTGTTTTGGTGGCAGAACAGAGTCTTGAGGTCCACTGGACCCGAGTGAAACTTTTTGCTTCTTTATGTGTAAAATAAATATTAAAGTTAATACCCATGAGTAGGATAATGAGCTTAATGAAGTACGTGCAAAACAGATATGACTCTCGCACTCAACTCTTCACTCAAATCATAGTAAATATACACCCAGGGAAGGAACAGATAAGGTTAGGATTTAAAAGAGTGATAGGAGTTAGTGTGAGAAAAAGAAGGAAAGAAAAAGCTAGCATCAGGGAAGAAAAAAAAAAAAAAAAAGTGAGGAACAGTAGAGCTAGGGAGAGACAGAAGAAGAAACTGTAAACTTAGCATAGGCAGTTGACTGGCTGTGCTCCTTCTCCTCCACCTAGACAGGGACGCTTTCTTGGTAAGCTCTGCATCTTCACCCTTTGGTGAGGAATACCTGGGAGAGCATTTTGCTAGCACTGGTATCATATCTTAGCGCTGTTGCAGTAAGTGTATTTACCAATGGAAACTTCACATCTGTTATGTCTGTCACCTTATTGCAACTAATTCAACTTGATGAAACTGTCTCAGCAAAAGCCCTTTAGCAGGGCTCCAAAACTGGCAAACATTTGATAACTCACTTTAAAAGCGACAGCTGTTGCACTGGGAGAAGGGGCAGGTTGCATTAAGCACATCTTTTGACAAAGTCGTTAGATTGTACATCAGTGACCTGGGTCTTGTGGGATGCTTCACCATAATTTTCAATTTTTATGCAATAAAAATTTCTTGCATCCATTCTGCTTGAGAGCTCTTTTGCCAGGGACTGCGTGTTATTAATGGGTTTGCTTTTTGGGCTCTATTTATTTTTTTCTCTCCACACGTTGAAATTCCTATGTGGGACTATGGGATTGCTTGCACAAAGATGCCCCACAGTTTCCCCATGCCTGAGTGACACAGCCACCTCCTCATTTCCTTATACATGGTCTGTTTTGAAAGTAGTAGGACTGGCTTTTTCCTGGGTGAATGGGCGGACGAGAGGCGGTCTGCGCGCGCAGGATTGGTGGAGGGGGATATTGGGAACACTGGGAAAAATTGGCAGTCAGCTGTCGGCCGTTGAAGAGAGCAGGTCGCTTGTACTGTGAACACCTGTCGAAACGCCTCATTACAGAGAATCATGGAGCGTTTACTGGAGCAGCGATACGCAATCAAATTTTGTGTAAAGCTTGGTAACAAGGGCAAAGAGACTCACGACATGATTAAGGAGGCCTACGGCGATGCTGCCATGCGTAGATCGGGTGTTTTTGAGTGGCACAAGCTGTTCTGAGAAGGTAGGGAAAGAGTGGAAGACAACGACCGCTCCGGATGCCCTTCGACAAGCAAGACCAACGAAAATGTGTCGCAAGTGAAAAATTTACTGAACCGTGATTGCAGGATGAGTATCAGAATGATTGCTGATGACTTGAGCATTCCTCAAACCCAAGTTTTTGAGATGGTGAAAGAAAACTTAGCCATGAGGAAAGTGTGCGCAAAGTTTGTGCCGCGAGTGTTGTCAGAGGATCAAAAGGCCAACCTGAAAGCGATCTGCCAGGATCTTCTTCATCATATGAATGAGGAGCCCGACTTTTTGGACAATGTAGTGACCGGTGACGAGACGTGGGTGTTTGAATACAACCCGGAGAGTAAGCGGCAGAGCACAGAATGGCACATCCCTGCTTCCTCACGCCCCAAGAAAGCACGAATGAGCAAATCCAAGCAAAAGTCCATGCTCATTTGTTTTTTTGATCAACATGGAGTCACCACAAAGAGTTTGTAACACCCGGACAAACAGTTAATGCCGTTTTTTACGTGGAAGTCCTCACAAGACTGCAAAAACGCATTGCTCGTGTCCGCCCAGCCATCGTCAACAATTGGCAGCTGCACCATGACAACGCACGGAGCCACACAGCGTTCCGCGTAGTGGAGTATCTTGCCCAGCACAAGGTGGCAACACTGCCTCAGCCTTCCTACAGCCCCAACTTGGCCCTGCCAGACTTTTTTCTATTCCCAAGAATAAAATCGACCCTCAAGGGGAAGCATCACGCATCAGTAGAAGCACTTCAAGAGGCCATGACGAGGGAGCTAAACAGCATTCCGGTCCAGGCATTCCTGGAGGCGTACGAAAACTGGAAAACTTGTTGACAGCAGTGTGTAGATGCAGAAGGGTGCTACTTTGAAAAATTCCAATTGTTTGTTCTATTCTCATGAATAATTTTTTTTTTCAAAAAAAAATGAGTCCTACTACTTTCAGAACAGACCATGTAAGCTTTACAGATAAATCTTTGGCTCATAAAAATTTGTGTATGCTATAAGGGTGGGCCTCTCTACATTGTCAGCAGTAGGTAAAGCTACTTTTGTCCTGCAGTGTTCCTGAGTCCTAGGATATTTTCCTAGAACATTTGACTTTTGTATTTTTTGGAAGGAACGAGTGAGAAATTTTTGGACCTGCAAACAATTCTTTTGTTGGAGATGTTACTTGAAGTTAGCACACATAGGGAAGGAAGTGAAACCTACTCAGGCATGTATAAATTACAGATGAGCATATATGAGCGATGTTCTGTGGTGTGGTCTGTAAGAAGAGTGCGGAAAAGCACTGGGAAAGCATCTACAGGTGTGGGCCCTGTTTAGCAAGTGGCTCAACAAAAGAAGTGAAATATCCCACTCTGCTTGCACTGAGGTGCGAGGCTGCCCAGAGACCCTCAAAGGCTGCCCAGAGCCAGCGCCTTGCGCCAGCAGCCGGTGTCACTCTGCCATGCCAGCACCACCTGCAGCTTCCACGGGTACAGCCACTCGTCCCTTGCCTCCTGCAAGTGGTGTCGCGTTGGGGAGCTGTGCCCTACTCTCAGAGCAGGCCTGCCTGGGCCTGGCCATGCCTACGCTGCTGTGCCCAGGCCCAGTGCTGCAGTGAGCGAGCAGGGGTCCTAGCGCGAGGAGCTGCAGGGTGTGGTGGGTGCTGCTGCGGGCAGCAAGCAGCTGAAGGCTGGTAGGCAGTGTCCAGTGTGTCAGCAGTAACATCCCTGATGAGTTAATGATGCAACAAAGGTTGCCCTGGATTTGAAAAGAGTATGGCTAAACAGTACTAAACAGTATGGCTATCTGATACGATTGTGAAAGGTGCTAGACTTCAGAACTCAGAAGTCAGGAAGGCTTGTTTAGGGACTTCGTGATTTCTATCATGCGGTCAGCTGCCTTGTCAAAGAAATCAAGGCGGTGCATCATTGGCTGTAGGACAAGCGTGACAATTTGTAAGCTTACAGAATGGCAGAACGGCTGACCTGGGAAGGGACATGGTGCTAAAACAAAACCACCTACAGCAGACTGTACAAGGACCATGTCCTGGCAGCTTTTGAAGATCTTCAAGAATGAGACTCCACAACCTCTCTGGGCAGCTTCTGTCAATGCTCCATTACCCACACAGCACAGAAGGGCTTCCCAATCTCCTACAAGTATGTAGCGATGCCAGTGCTTTTTTACAGCAAGCCCCTCACTTTTTCTATAAAAAGAGAAACCTGATTTTTTTTTTATATAATAGAACCTCAATGTAAGTACAAGAATCACACATGTCATTGCTGAGCAAGTGAAGTGCTTTGTTGCAGATACATTCTGAAAAGCAAATGGATTGTGTGGACAGAAAGAGAAGCTTATTAATATTTTTCCAAGAAAAAATTATTTATTAGACCTAGGACTGGTTTCACTTATAGAAAGGAACATGTTAAGCAGTAGGGAGATAATAGGGCTTCCAGAAGTACACAAGTGACAAGAGGAAGACCAGGGAAAATGTGGGACCTGGTTACACAGGACAGGAAAAAGGCTAAGGTTTAGGCTAAGGTTTAGGCTGATGAAATTTCTTTTGAAAATAAAAGTCCTGACTTTCATTTTTGCCCTTCCCAGCATCCTTGCAATTTCACCAGCTTCTCAAGGCTTACGCTGCTTGTTGTCTTGGATTTGGGGAAGCCTAAGGTGCTTCTCCTTCATCTCATCTTCATTCAGCATTTCCTTACCCAGCTCTTGGAATACTTTTTCTGACTTAACCATTTAATGTTTTCAGAGCATTTTGGATGAATCACTCTCAGAGCTGAGACAGAAAAGGTTTTAGGATATGAAAGAAGAACACTCTCTTGAAAAAGGAGGTTGCTGATCCGAACAGCCACTCGACTCAAGTCTGGTAGCCATAAGACAAACTGTATAGGACAATGAAAAATGATGATACCCTAATTACAGCTAGAACTAATGCCCACAAGAGGTAGACGCACCACCAACCAAGATCTACATGTAGTCTCTTGTGAAAGAGCCTGGAGGAGAGGCCTACTGGCTTTCTTCCTTTCAGAACGTTGCCCCCTTCTTCTGCAGAGCCCTTCTGGGCCAAGGCACGAGGAGAAGGTTCCCTCTGGGAATACTTAAATAAGGCAACAATAATCGTTTCCAGATGCCAGGTCACCAAAAATTCCTTTTATAAGTTCCTTTTCTAATGGATCTCAGGTACCTCAAGTGCATTGGATACTGTGCATTCTTGCACTGTTAGAAGTGTCATGGGGTTTTTAGGGATGTCTGCTATGACCGTTTTCTCCAGGTCCACCGTGTTGGGGGTAACTATTACTTTGGCTGCCAGGAACCTGATGTCAAATGTGGACGTATTTGAGGCCACACGGACTGACAGGCTTCTGTGACTCTGCTTCATCTTGCAGATGCAGTGTACCCCCTGCCAGTCAGTCAAGGGGCCAAGCCTGCACAGGTCTTCCCTCCACTGACTTTGAACTCCACCCAGAAACAAGCACTGGTCACTGAAAATGTTGACGCTCACCAGCCCCGTGGTTGGATACCTTGTAAGGTAGGGCATCAGCAAGACAATGGAGATGTTCTGACTGTCAGCACCACTTCCTTGAGCTGCAGCTTTCAGCTGTGACTCTGGGAGACAGATAACGTAAGGAGCCTTGATGTTAAAACCTGCATTAGTCCAGGATTTTTGGGGCCAGATGGGATCCACCCAAGGGTACTGAGAGAACTGGCAGAGGAGCTGGCCAAGCCGCTTTCCATCATTTATTAACATTCCTGGCTATCGGGGAAGGTCCCAGTTGACTGGCGGCTAGCAAACATGATGCCCATCTAAAAGAAGGGCCGGAGGGCAGACCCGGGGAACTACAGGCCTGTCAGTTTGACCTCAGTGCCAGGGAAGCTCATGGAGCAGATCCTCTTGAGAGTCAACTTGCGGCACTTGCAGGGCAAGCAGGTGTTCAGGCCCAGTCAGCATGGGTTTATGAAAGGCAGGTCCTGCTTGACGAACCTGATCTCCTTCTATGACAAAGTGACGCGCTGGGTGGATGAGGGAAAGGCTGTGGATGTGGTCTACCTTGACTTCAGCAAGGCTTTTGACGCCGTCTCCCACAGCATTCTCCTCAAGAAACTTGCTGCTCTTGGCTTGGACTGGCGCACGCTTCCTTGGGTTGGAAACTGGCTGGATAGCCGGGCCCAAAGAGTCATGGTAAATGGAGTCAAGTCCAGTTGGAGGCCAGTTACTAGTGGCGTTCCCCAGGGCTTGGTGCTGGGGCCAGTCCTCTTTAATATCTTCATCAATGATCTGGATGAGGGCATTGAGTGCACCCTCAGTAAGTTGGCAGATGACACCAAGTTAGGTCCGTGTGTCGATCTGCTTGAGGGTAGGAAGGCTCTGCAGGAGGATCTGGATAGGCTGGACTGATGGGCTGAGGTCAACTGTATGAAGTTCAATAAGGCCAAGTGCTGGGTCCTGCACCTGGGGCACAATAACCCCAAGCAGAGCTACAGGCTGGGAGATGAGTGGTTGGAAAGCTGCCAGGCAGAGAAGGACCTGGGAGTGATGGTTGATAGCTGAATATGAGCCAGCAGTGTGCTCAGGTGGCCAAGAAGGCCAACTGCATCCTGGCTTGTATAAGAAGCAGCATGGCCAGCAGGTCTAGGGAAGTGATTGTCCCCCTGTACTCAGCTCTGGTGTGGCCACACCTCGAGTACTGTGTTCAGTTTTGGGCCTGTCACTACATGAAGGACATCGAGGTGCTCGAGCGAGTCCAGAGAAGGGCGACGAAGCTGGTGAGGGGCCTGGAGAACAAGTCCTATGAGGAGTGGCTGAAGGAGCTAGGACTGTTCAGCCTGGAGAAGAGGAGGCTCTTCTAAACCTAACCCTGACCCTGACCCTAACCCTAAACCTAACCCCATCCCTAGTCCTAACCCTAGCCCTAACCATAACCCTTACCATAACCCTAAACCTATCCCCTTCATGCCACCTTGGCTGCTGTCTGCACTAGCAAGACCAGCCTTCAGGAATGCCAGGTCACAGAGACCAGGGGAACAGCTGGAGCAAGGAAGATGTACCCTGAGTGGAAGAGGATCAGGTCAGGAATACTTCAGTGAAGTGAGCATTCCAGAGTCCGTGGGTCCTGATGCCATGCACCCACAAGTGTGGAGGGAGTTGGCTGCTCACCTTGCAAGGCCACTCACAATAATCTTTGATCATTCATGGCAACTGGGGAAGTGCCTGAAGACCAGAGAAAAGCAAATGTCACCCCTATCTTCAAGAAGGACAGGAAGGACAAGGCAGGGAACTATAGGCCTGTCAGCCTAACCTCAAACTTTGGGAAAGTGATGGAGCAACTAACCCAGGAAACTATTTCCAAGCACACGAATGACAAGAAAATCAAGAGCAGTCAGCATGGATGCACCAAGAGGAAATCAGGCTTGACTAGCTTTATAAACTTACATGGTGAAATGCCTGGTCTGTTGGATGAAGAGAAAGCAGTGGATATATTCTGCCTGGACTTCAGCAAGGCTTTTTATGCTGTCTCCTGTAAAATCCTGCTACACGAGCTCCCGATGTTATCGGCCTGATGGGCAGTGAGGTGATCGAAAACTGCCTGGATGGCCAGGCCCAGAGCAGGGTGATCAGTGGCACAAAGTCCAGCTGGAGATCAGTAACTAACGAGGTACCCCAGGGGTTACTACTGGGCCCAATCCCGCTTAATACCTTCATTAATGATCTGGATCATGCAGAAGAGGGTGCCCCCAGCAAGTTTGTGGATGACCTGGGACTGCTAGGAGTGGCTGATTAACCACAGGGTCATGCTGCCATCTGGAGGAAGGATGAGGGATCTGAAGAAACAGTCTGACAGGAA